TGTTGTAGGACGTGTGCCGTAGCACCCTAAATCCGAATATGGTTTGATCTGGGCTTGCACCCCTTCCATAATTCTTTAGGTGTCTTTACAACAAACTTTGACGGAATCAAGTTAAGAAGGTACAATTCCTTCTCTTAGACATCTCCCTTGAACAACATTGACAAAAATGAATAACTGAACATGATCTTCACCAAGTCTAGAAATGTTTGATTTTTGCATACTGCAACTTCATTCAACTAATGCGTTCTTAGAGTTGACAGTTACAAAAACTATCTCCTCTTAAATCAGGTAAGACCTGAACTTACCAGACAGGTAGCCAACACTTTAGTCAGACCAAAGTGTTTTTGATTTGAACACCTACATGATTTTCTGCCTCAGACTTAAACCTCTTGGAAATTTCCAGAAGCTTTAGACTTATAGCGCACTTGGTTCATCTGTCCTAATCCAGAGTAAACATTCATATAATGAAGTACTCATTACCTCTTCTGGTCTGAACGCTAAGTGGTCCACATACTTTAGTATGTACCAGTTCCAGTTGAATAGTTGCGCAAACCTTCTTGGCCCTTGTAGGATTGCTTGGCCATTTTACCTTCCAAATAGGACTAACATGTAGCTGTTAGTTAAAAGATTCTTGAACTTTCAGTCCCTCTTTTAACTAAAACATGTTTCCTACTTGAGATAATATGACTCAATCAAAAAGGCCAAAGTTATGTTTCATTTGAAACTTTTATTTCTTTGGTGAATGTTCTTGTTCATCATCCTTTCCATTCAACATAACAAATTTAAAAAGGGTATAGGACATAGGTAATAAAGACTATTTAAACAATGTACCAGAACAAAACAAGACGAAGATGAACTTCGAAATGTAACTGAGGAATCAATTGCATTGTCAAACCATGTTTTAACCAAAACAACTAACAAAAATTGAATTCCTCTTGAAATCCGGAACAAATAAACAGTCACTCAAAACCATAGTCATATAAATAACTTGTCCTACTGCAAATGCAGACACAAGTTTCCATTTTCAAGCTTAAAATATCTATGTCCCTTGCTGAGAGGTATGCCATGTTTGAACTACTACAAAGAGTAATAAACATAATCAGTGATTCCTGAATCAATAATTCATTCACTGATCAGGCCTTGATATGCCCATGTCAGGTTCTTTTCATCACCTCTGGGCAATTTTTCTTTCAGTGTCCCTTCAGTCTGCACTTGAAGAACTTGCATTGCGGCTTCTTCATAGCAACTGGTTTGACAACTGATAACCAAGTTATTTTGTTCTTGTTACCACCCTTGGGTTTTCCCTTGGATTTAACAAGACTCTTAGCAAAAACTGCATCGACTGCATTCTGTCTAGAAGAACTGCTAGACGCAGCAAACATGTCATTAAGAGTCTGAAGCATTTCTACTCCACTCTTAATCATGTACACTTGCTTCTCCAAGTATTTGGAAAGACTGACAATAACATAGCAGCGAACTACCATATCTGCCATTTCCCAATCTGAGAAATGCATCTTAGTTTCCTTATACGCATCCTCTGCAGGTTGCTATGGCCCTCGCATTGTCAGGACAAATTTTAGCTCCCATGTTTTAGAACAATATCAAAGATTTTCTTTTCACTTATTCATAGTTGGTACCATCTAGAGATTTTTGACTCAAAATCATTTCTAAGATATTTTCTGAAAAACATATAAAGCACACAATTACAAACAAATAATGCAATAAACAAATGAAGTGCAAGTAGATTCTCATAACTACTCTTGTTTATTGTTAACAATCCTTCAGTTTATCTTTACAAGGCTTACGATGGGCAAGTCACTTGTAAAAACCAAAATTGTTATTTGGGTCTTCAGTGCCATTGCCAGAGCCTCGATGGGAGGGTTAACAATTTTACCAAAGTTGAATGTAATTAACCATTGTTTAATTTCAAAATTATCCTTAGTGTCTAAGCATTGCCGACGATGGGCCGTACAATACTTTACTAAAATTTTGAAATTATTAAGATTTAATCTAGTGAAATCTGATTATCCTTATCCGATGGGGCTTCAGCGATAACCATTTCACTAATAAACCCACAAATGGAGCCCGCATATTTTAAAATTAATTAATTTTTAAAACCTTCACCCATTCAACATTTTTGTTTGAGAATTTTCATAAGCCCAGTCGAATTCATTGTTTAATTTCAAAATTATCTTTAATAACTTAGTATTATCGACGATGGGCCGTACAATACTTTATTAAAATTTTGAAATTATTAAGGCCCAATAAAATCCAATCATGCTTATCCGTTGGGGCCTCACATGATTATTTTACTGATAGGCCCACAATGCGCCTGGAGGTTAAATTAATTTCTTAATTTAAATCTCCTCCCATAGATATTTAAGTCCAATCTAATAAAATCCAATCATGTTTATTCGATGGAACTTCACATGATTATTTTATTAATGGTCCTATAATGCGCTTGAAGGTTAAATTACTCTCTTAATTTAAATCTCCTTCCATTCAACATAAGCAACATTTTCTAATTTCCAAGAATTATTTAATTGAGAGTATCCTTTGTTCGATTTCAAAACCTATATAAGTAAGAGCGCCGATAAACGTGCACTAAGCTTAACATAATTTTGAAAGCATTAAGGTCCTGAAATCCGGTCACTTTACGTCAGCGTGTGCTCCAAACAATCATGATACATGAATGTTGTATACAACGTGTGTTATTCCATGAACATTTCAGAAAACCCACAAATTACTCGCAAAATAAAAGAATTCTCTTAGGAAATTTTCTCTAATTATTTTTCTAGATTTAAATCATCCAAATAGCTGACTTAATTATTAATCTAGATTGCAACAATCATAATAATTATCATTTATGAGGATAATTTGAAATCAAAATAATTTCCATAACGATTATTTGTCTTGATGTTAATTATCCAAAATTAATTAATTCAATTATTAATCTAGATTTTTAATTAAAATCATAATAATTATTAATTAATTTCTTAGAATGATTTAAAATCAAAATAATCTCATAATAACTATCATACTAGTCGCTGAAGACATAATAGCTATTATGCTCATGCAATCATACAAGTTATGCAACAATATGGCACCACCTATTCTATATGGCATGTTATAGCAATAAAGCATGTTATCAATCATATAATTTATACCAATCAATAAAAGCATTAAATAATAAAATCTAATTACTTTAATCCATGGTCTTCTTATTTTAAAGAAAATAAAATTAAATTAAATTGAATAATACAACTTTGGAATTCGACTTTCGCCTAGCCCATAGTATCTGTCTCAAGCCCCTTTAAGATTTCATGGGCCCAATAGCCCAAAGACCCAATCCTTTGGCGAGAAACCCTAGGACGCGAAAGAGGAACCCTAGCCGTCAGGTCTTCCGCGCCGTCACCCGAAGTCAAATCAGGCTGAAACTCCAGGGGAAGGACCGCCACGTATAGACGAGTGCACCGCCGCCGGAACCACCCAAAAAGGTGGCCGGACGCTCCCTCACTCTCCCATTCTTTTCCGGAGAGTGACGGCCACTCTCAGACGCTTGTGGAGGCGCGTGGCGGAGCGTGAAGGCTCCGATGGCGGCGATCCACCCACCTTTGTGTTCGTATTTCTGTCCTCTTTCCAACCATATATAGATCTCCCCATTCCGAGATCGGGAAGTTCTCGAAAAGTCTCCGACAGTACTGACTGCGCATCTTACTCGCGGTTTCTCGATCTTGAACTTTTACAAAATATTAGAAAAATACACAGAAATTCCGAAAATAAATAAAAACAGCAAGGAGAAAACCTAATCATATGGGATTAGTCTCCTTGTTACAAATCGAGAAATACACGAGAGACCCTAACCATGGATTAAAGCATTTTTACCGATTAAAATTTAAACTTTTATGAAAATGAATTATAAAATACACATGCTAGATTCATACCATAATCCTAGAACCCTAGGTGCCACATTTCAAGAAGCAAAACTAATTACATGAATAGTGAAACTAGATTCACATACCAATGTACAGCCAAGGCTCTGATACCAATTGTAGGAAATCCTAGATTTATGCGGAAGCGGTTTAGGACCTAGTACATTGGTATGCTTACCGAATCATCCTTGTTTCACAATTACCTCTCGGTGCGCAGGTCTCGTGTAGAATCTTCCCTGGTAGGATTCCTCTTCACGAACAGCTCACCTCAGCGCCGCAGCACGAACAACCTCCTTGAAGCTGGACTGTGGCAGATCTTCCAAACTATCTCTCGAGGAGGAAGGGGAAGTGTGTGGGCACTGATTAGATTCTGAGCTTGCCTCTTTCTCACAAAAAAGACCTTAGAGGCTTATGACTTAAGAGGTACTATTTATATGGGTTCCAAGAAACCCTAGCTCATTGGGCTCTAGGTTTCTTGGGCTCTTCTCATACTAATAACTCATTTGGTCTTTAGTAAAAGAGCAAACCCAACAATAACCATGTCATATTTTTTTTCAACATGAGAAATCCATTTCTATATTAAAAATTCAAAGCGAACAAGTTAATTATGAAAAAAAAGAGTATAAGATGGGATTTTGTTTGTTTATCTGCCTCCGGACCGTGCACGGTATGATAAGATCATCATATATCTAATTAAACTGCATTCGGCGTTCCGTTATATTTTTTTAATGATAAAATAATAAAGAAAAAACTCAAAGTTTAATCATTGGTCACCCATTAAATTAAACTGCAATTCGCGTGCCGTTATATTTTTTTTAATCATAAAATAATAAAGAAACAACTCAAAGTTTAGTCATTGTCAACCATTAAATTAAACTGCATTTGGCCTGCAGTTATATTTATGGGCTAAAAGACATATTTCCGTGATGATAAATTGCAAAAGTCAACTAATTACATTAATTAAAGAAGGCTACACAACAAGATTAATCAATTAGTTAAAAAGAGAAGGATCATTCCTACTAATAAAACAGAGAGAGGGATCAATTGAACAGCGAAAGAAATTCAAAAATGGAATTACATTGGGTTTTGATGAGTGCTATCACCATTTTGGGAAGCTACCTTTTTGTAAAGAAATTTGTAAGGAGGTTGAATGGGTGGTATTATGATCTGAAACTAAGAAACAAACAGTATCCACTGCCTCCTGGTGACATGGGATGGCCTCTAATTGGCAATCTGTTGGCTTTCTTTGAAGCTTTCAAATCTGGTCACCCTAATTCATTCATCAACAACCTTGTCTCCAAGTCTCTTTCGTTTCTTCCCAATGCTTTTTCCATTTTATATATATTATATATGGATTTAGTGTTTCTCAATGCAACCTGTTTTAGAATTTTGTGGAAATTCATTTGGCAAGAGAGAATTAAATTTTCCAAAATGCCTGTATTTTTTTTTTTTTTAATAAATATCGAAATGATTTCGTTTTGGATTACAATATAGTTGTTATCTTACCTTGCTTGTATATGTTTCAGATATGGAGGAACTGGTATCTACAAGACTCACTTGTTTGGGAATCCAAGCATCATTGTTTGTGAGCCTGAGATGTGCTGGCGAGTGCTGACAGATGATGAGAACTTTAAGATTGGTTATCCAAAATCCATGTTAAAGCTACTGGCAAGTAAGCCTTTGGGTGATGTCTCAAGTGCACAACACAGGCGTTTTCGACGCTTAGTCACTGCTCCCATCGTTGGTCATCACACATTAGAAATGTATATAGAACGTATCGAGGACATTGTGATCCATACGTTAGAAGAATTGTCCAGCGTGAAACACCCAGTTGAGTTCTTGAAAGAGATGAAGAAGGTTTCCTTTAAAGTCATCATTCACATTTTCATGAGCACCGAGAATCAAAACGTTAATATCAAAATAGGAGATTTGTTTAATGATATGCATAATGGTCTATTCTCTTTGCCCATTAACGCACCCGGTTTTGCTTTCCACCAAGCACTCAAGGTCAGGGTTCTAATTTTGATATTATTTTATGAAATAGTTTATACTCACAACTTTTTTTTTTTTTTTTTAATTTATTTCTTGCAATCACTTTGTTACTATTAGATCAAAATTAAATTTAACGGTTCTCATTTGATATCATTTTATAACCGTTGATTTGATTTTGATCTAACGATAAACAAAATTATAATAAAAGGTTATAAGAAAAAAGAGGTTATAAATATACCCTCCTCTTATTTAATTATTATTATTACTATTATTTTGTTAAGAATATGTTTGGGTGCTGAATTCACGTTTTTGGATGGCGTTTGCATGGTATATTAGGCACGTAAGAAGCTCGTCCAAATAGTTCAATCTGTTGTGGAGGAACGGAGGTTGATGATAAAAAATGGTCAAAGGGGAGACAAGAAAGATCTTATTGATATTCTTTTGCAAACCAATGGTGAGAATGGTCGGAAATTGGAGGATGAGGATATTACTGACTTATTAGTGGCGTTTTTATTTGCTGGTCATGAAAGCACAGCAACTGGTATGATGTGGTCAATTATATATCTTACACAGCATCCTGATATCTTGAAAAAAGCCAAGGTAATGAAGCTGAATTCAAGCACAAGTATAGTTGGTTAGTCTTAATTTTATGAAAAAGCTTTGAATAATTAAACATCTTTTGTAGACGACTTTTCAAATAATCGAAAGAAACCTTCTTACCAAGGAGCTTCACAATCTGTGTTTGCCTAAAGTGGCAATTTCGTTGACTCCCACCTCAAGCCGACAGCGAATATAGTTACAGTCAATATATTAAATAGTAATAATTTGTGTTAAGTACAATAATTTTTTTTTAAAATTAAATTATTTTATAAAATAATCATAGGCTTTGATTATTTAGGTTAAAGTTCGAATAACACTTCAACTTGAAATGTGGTTTAATTATCTACCATCACTCCATCCACTGATCCCAAATTTTTTTTTTAACTATTGACGTATATTTAATTCAAACAATGCTTGTTTTATTTCATGTTTTCTAATAGCTATTATCTTGTACACTAGGTAGATGCTTACCTATAAAATTCGTCGAAATATGAATTTGTTCTTGATATTTGAAATATGGATTGATATGTTAAACAGTCGATCATATATCTATATATATTATCATCAAATTGAAGAAGGCTGATATAAGCAAACAAGTTTGCACGTGACCTCTTACAAATGTATTTTTGTGGCTCATATGGAGAATAAAGTTTAAATTATCAACTATAGCGAATGCATAATTACATTGTAGCAATATCAATTAAATAATTGAAATCATTTGAATAAACCATAAAATAAAACAGATCGGATAATCTATTATGATGGAGAAAAACATTTAAATGCAAATATACTTTGGAAAAAAATTAATAGAGCTAAAGAAAGAATTTAACACAAAAATTAAACATGCAGGTGCCGATATGGCAATATAGTACGCAGATTGAGCAAGATTCTGATTAATTAAAAAATAGTAACAACTAAGTTTATTTAATTATTCTTACTAGTAGTTTCTTATACAATTTGACATTATAAATGTGTTCCCTTATTAGAAATTGTGTTAGGGTTACATGGATTGTTACTGCAAAATGGTTCTTAATGCTTATATATAATAGGTAATCAATCTTGGTTTATATCTTGTATATAGGAAGAGCAGGAAGAAATCATGAAGACAAGACCACCCTCGCAGAAAAAATTAAGTCTTGAGGAAATTAAGCAAATGGCTTTCCTTTCTCAGGTATATTAGGAAATGACATAAACACTTATAATACATTGCAAATAAGATTTTATTTGGAACTGAAAAGAAAATATCAAAAAAGTGAGAAGACAACGCATCTTGCAGAAATCATGGTCTTCTGTCACATGATAGCAAAAATTTTTCCTACACAAATTTGTTTTCTGTGTCAATTAATTTTTTTTTTCTTTTATAATATAAAATGTGAGACCCATTAATTTATCCTTACTTTTTTTATCTCATACAATCCTACAACATAAGAAAATATGAACTCATGCATGTTGTTATACCTTGCAGATAATAGATGAAACGTTGCGTCGTACCAATATTGTCTTTTCAACTTTTCGAGCTGCAACTTCGGACGTGAACGTCAATGGTTATTCATTTTTGTTAACAACAAATAAACTCTTTAGCTATCTTCAATTATTCAAGGAGAATAAAAACATTTATATATCATCTGTACAATATTTTCAGGTTATATCATACCGAAAGGATGGAGAGTGTTGAATTGGGCAAGTACTATTCATATGGATCCTAAATATTACCCAAATCCTGAAGAATTTAATCCATCCAGATGGGATGTAAGTTATATTAATATATAAACTATTCTTGATAATTTTGGACAATCTATGAGCTTTTTTTTTTTTCTTGTGACAATAATTATATATGCAGGATTACAATGCCAAAGCAGGAACATTCCTTCCTTTTGGAGCAGGAAGTCGGCTTTGTCCTGGACGTGACCTGGTCAAACTTGAAATTTCCATATTTCTACATTATTTCCTCCTTAATTACAAGTTAGCACTATTTCTTTGCCACTTCTTTCTTTTATCAAGTGGTTTAGATTCTTCACATTATTCTACATACTAAAAGTCCCTTTGAAGAGAAGCATATATTGATGGGAATATTTTCATTTATTTTTATTTATGCCAAATTTTTTAAAATGGCTTGAAATTGTTCTTTACTATTTTTACTCATTTATTTATTTTATAGGTTGGAACGAATAAATCCAGAATGTCCTATTACTAATTGGCCAGGACCTAAGCATATAGACAATTGTCTCGCTAAGGTGATAAAAGTTTCCGGTGCTTAGTTGTGCAAACTAAAGTTTTTAAGCCACGTGGTTGCAAATCAACCTTTGTTTTTTATCGTTACATGAGAAACTATGCATCTGGGATCGCCCTTGTTTAAAATAATAATAGTATGTTTGCAAATCAACCTTGTTTTTTATTGTATTGTTGTTAGTCTACCTTATTTTACGTAACAAACTGAGAATAATGTAAGTTCTAAAATATTCTTGATGATCTAATCATGCTCATACACAACAAAAGCAATTAGATCAAGTGCGGAAAAATTAAGATCATAAATATCTCCCGCCATTGCTATTCTTATTTGCTCCGAAGATGAGTTGTAGTGTTCGTGAGTCAAGAAATTCATGAGTGCCTTGTGAGTCTTCCAAGCTCTAGTTCTCATGTATAGATGGTGTATTGCATATATCTAAGAGTGAGCTCAGCGACCTCAAAGTCTGAAGTCACCATATATAGACCCTAACCATCAAGATGTCTGTTATTAGTGGTGTGTAGAAAATATGGGTTGTCGGGGTTTTTTTGACTGTTATGGAAGATTGTTTCTGAAATAATGTGGACCGTATTTTTGACTTTATTATCCTCAGTTTGTTACGAAAGATAAGGTACACTAACACTCTTCTACTTGGTCCATATATCCCGTCATAAACTATAGTGAGAAATAAAATACATGAATCATGGCGATAGTTCCTCTAATATATGTATGAGTATAATCTTCCATGTATTATACTGCATTATATTCCTCAAGCCTATACAACTTAATGAATAAATCCAATGTTTATTCTAGGTCCAAACTTAATTGATGTTTCTCAGAATGACTGTAGATGTGCATAAAATGAATGAAAAACATCACAAATAGAGATTCATAATATCATTCTTATAATGAAAATCACAAATGGAAACCAATTCTCATCCTTTCCATATGATCCTTTCCATATGATCCTTAAATTGATCCTTTCCATAATTGACTTTGGATAAATATAGAAAGATTAGAATAATTATCGAGAAGGTCAAATGACGCTTAAATCGCTTTTCTGATGAAAAATGCAGATATCGGTTCTGTTTCACGGTATAAATGTGTACCGAAGAAATATTCCGAAAAATTGTAATGAAAATATAAATATTCCTAGAAAAGTATCTAGGTAAAGGATATCAATTTTTAAGTAAAGATAATGAGCGGTGATGTCCGAACTAATACTAGTTATGTATAAAATGCCTATCGATAAAGTGTTGCGAAAAATTATAAGAAAAATATGATAATTCCTAGAAAAATATCTAGGTTCAGAATATTAAGTTTGGTAAAAAAATAATTAGCGAAACTATTAGAACTACTACTATTGATTAGTGGGGACACTAATATAAATAGTCATTTACACTTAACCCTAGGTCAGTTTTTCTGATCCCAAGGTTGATCCCATGGCTGCCACCTTCTTCCTCTATGAGAGCTTGAGTCTTGTATATGGAACTTTATCAAAAATCCACCTTTCTTCCTATTTCTCCACTTTTACACTATTGAACCACCATTAAACCTTGTAAAGCTTGAGTCTTGTGAAGTAAAGGTTATGTCTTGAGGGTTTTTAGTTTCTGCATTCAAAGAGTAAGGGCTGACTTTGGTTGTTCTTAGTGTGTGAGCCTTGGATACCCTCTAGAAAGCTCCAAGAATCAACCTTTGTGAAGAAAGAACCTACTTTGGAGTGGGATTTTCGTGCACCACCAAGTCAGTGGCTTGGAGCACCTTCAAAGTCCTCAAAGCTACCCCATTTTTCTGATTTCAAAGGTCCCTGGGTAACTACAAGTCATTTCCTTTGTAGTTTCTTGAAAATGAGTTAGTTTATTAAGTAAAATGTGGAAATATTAATGATGCATGTAAAATATGGTATAATGATGTCTAAGCAAGTAAGTTGAACTTCTGTTTTGATAAAAATCTGATCTTGGACCCTTGGAAGCCATTAAACCCGTGGATTATGCAGAAAATTCTATAGTTTTCGTGTTCTGTCCATGTGGTAATCGATTACCCTGTGCATGGTAATCGATTACTATGTGGAGTAATCGATTACCATATTTTTGGTAATCGGTTATCATGTGTAGTAATCGATTACCCTGTTTTTGGTAATCGGTTACCGTGTGGAGTAATCGATTACCCCATGTATGGTAATCGATTACCCCCTGTCAAAAAGATCAGAAAACAGTTCTAACGCGTGGGAAAGTTTCCATTTGGACATGGTACCCTAGGAAGTTAGTGTTATTGTTGGGAAATATTAATACCAATAATAGTGAGGGTTAATATGCAACAATTATGATTTAGAAAGGATGTAAACGAAATAGAAAACATTGCTTAATGGATATGAAATTTAGGATTTCTGAATATTAAATTATGTTTTCATATAAAACAGATTGCAATTGTCGGATTGTGTGATTGTTGGGGTGTCTGTGTATACCGCGCCTTTGGATAGGGATTTTGGCACTACAAGTAAGCTTTCGTGTCCTCGGTTTTATCCATTGATGGTTTCACCATACCTCATGGAGGAATGGTTTATATGCATGATGTGTTTTTCTGAAAATATATCTGTTTATATGATAAATATTGGATATGCTGTTGAGCTAGATGTTTACTATAGTTCAATTGCCATATGCATATGTATATGGGGTATTCCACACGAGACGATAATTCCTGAGCATGTCGGGCCACATGCAAGAAGGTAACTCCGTGTGTGAGGTACATGGTGGACTCCTTGTACTGTGGGTTGTAGACGTATATAATTCCCTACCTCTTATTCTCTGGCCAGTAGGATGCATACACACATGACATGGAGATATGCTGCATTGCACATATTTTGATATTATACTGTTGTTATCATTTTAGAACTTATATTGCACATGTAAGTGAGCTTGGGGTAGAGAGATCCTTGAAGATCTCTTGTCTTACTGAGATTTCTCGTTTGAGATCTCACCCCGTGTGGGGCACATTCTCAGGTACATGTACTTCTGGGGTTGATACCTCTAGTGGCAAGAGCCGGAGTTGAGTTAAGATGATGCATGCACCTTGCCATATGATTATGATTTATGCCATGTTGTTATGTTTTATGGCCATTGTATGTGAGACATGACTTGCTGTTTATGTTGTTTTATTTGGTGAACACGAGGGTTGTCCATACCACATTTGAATAAGTTGTATCTGTTCGAATCTTCCCAGTACCACCTTTGGGAGGGGTTTAAAGCCTTAATCCTGGACTCGCCCCGAATCGGATTAGTTGCAAAGCAATGAACCGTTTGGAATATTTCCAAAAAGAAGAAGAATAAGCTGTATCTATCTATGTCTTTATGGTGTTTGTTGTATAATCTCATTAATTGTTAGGCTAACTATGTGGGCTATTGTCTATATGATAAGTTATTGTCATTGGAAACGAATGAGCTAGTCTATCGTTATATTAGTTGAATAGAAATATAAAACATTTATTGAAAAAAAGAAAGAATAGTAATGTAAAACAATATTATGATTGATTATGAATTAATTTTACTGTGCTTAATATCATCAAAGAGTTATCGGACCAGATGCATATGAGATGTTACGATAGATAGATAATATTATTACTCCATTTTGAATAAATATTCCACATTACATATATTAGTTGATAGGTGCCACACATGACCGCGATAATGCCATATGATAACCCCTCAAAGTTATGCACGTACTTTAAGAGCACATCTTTAGTCCTATTAGAGTATATACTCCTTTACTAAAAGTAGAAAATGATGATAGTTTAAAGAAAAATAACCATACAAGAAAAGTTAAAATGATAAAAAATATATATTATTTTTCAAATTAAATATAGAAAATGATGATAGTTTAAAGAAAAATAACCATACAAGAAAAGTTAAAATGATAAAAAATATATATTATTTTTTAAATTAAATAAATGATGAACTGAGTCTTCAGTACTCTTGTAATATTAAAAATATTTCTGTACTTTAATGTACAACTAATTGCACCTGTATTATTGCCATGTGGCAATTGTGCACGTATTATGACAGTTAGGCACGGGCCACCCGCATCGACTCATCAAGTATATGTGTAATTGACTGTTTTAATTAGGTAATATGTCTGAAAATAGCATAAATACCACAATTTGTCTTTTTAATAATAATTATTAGGTATAAAATAATAAATCTTACATCAATTTTTTTTTTATCACTATTAAATTACACCGTGTTTACGTGGACCTGTAAGTTCAATTCAATTTAAATTTAATTAGTTTTCAGAATTTGAAAAAGACCAATGTAATCCAATCAAAAAAAAATAAATTTAGGCTCTGTTTGATTTCTGTTTTGCAAAACAGTTTTTTAGTTTTCAAAACAAAAAAAATTAAAAAACTCGTTTGATAAGACCTTTTTTGTAAAAAATGTTTTGAAAACTATAACTGTTTTTTGTTTTTAAAATCAAATTTAGAGAACATGTCTGAGTTGTTTTTGTTTTCTGTTTTGATTTTTAACTTTCAAAAAAAAAAAATATAGAAAAAACTGTTTCGGTAACTATTTTACAAAATAATTTTAAGAACAAAAGAATCAGAACATAATCAAACATGGCCTTTAGTTTTCGTTTTTGATTTTTTCTAGATTTAGTTGATTCAGTTCGTTTTTTATTTCTCTCCTGGTCGTTTATGTACTGAAACGCTGCCGTTTGCCACATCTTCTTACCAGGCGCCAAATCCAATACCCCTTGGATCCGTACCAAAAACAATTTTCTCTATTTGTCTCCCTTGCTCTCCTCTCAGCACAAACAAAACCTCATACCAAATATTTCGATTCCTCACTTTTTTTCTTTTCCCCGGAACTCCAATTCTCCCATAAAACCCCTTGGCATTGTCTTTCCTTCAATTTTCAACATCCTTTGACGAAGAAGAAGAAAAGAGTGTTAGGGCTTTGATTCTCTGCTACGTTTTCAGCATTTGAATACCCTGCACGTTCCTCCGCGAATCGTGCACACTCCCCCTTCAGTTTCCGCTCTCCTCTGCTGCGAAATCAGGGTTAATAGTTTTGGGGTTAATTCTTCTCTCGATTTCGAACCAACTAAACCGTAAAAGATGTATGCTGATCGGGTGGAGAGTGGAGCGAGGAGGTCCGTGAAGGAACGCCTTAACGGGAATGGTATCAGTGACTCTACTCGTCAGCAACGCCAAATCACCGGCAAGAGGTTTGCAATTTTTATTCCGTCATGTTTATTATTATTATTATTATTAATGTGAATGTTATTTCCTTAAGGTTATAGTGGATATTCATGGATTTTGCTTCGATTTGAATCATATTATTTTTTATGCTGGTTTTCTGTTGATATTCATTTGAGTAGTATGTGTATAAGTATTGCTGCGAATTATCTTCCATGCTAATGTTGCTTGTGAGAGGGTATATGCACATGGGTTTCAAGCTTTATACTGTGAACGTGTCTGGTTAGTGGTAGGTAGGATTCTGACGAGAGTGCGTGTATTAGGTTTCTGGGATGCTGTTTGATTGATTTATTGGCTATAGCCAAGCAATTAGGGAAGTATCTTGGATTGGACACTGGAGGAAGGGGAGTAGCTTGAGAGTACTGTCAATGAATAGTTTTTTGAAACTGATGCTATTTAGTACTTAGTAGGAACTTAGATGGATATCGCAAAACCGTCTGGTCTAAGGATTATCATCTTGTGGCTGTTGGTTTTGAGTAGTCTTTGGGCCACGTTATCTGGCTGGGATTTGAATACTTAGCATTGCAATTTGCTAGGGCACTCGATATTTGAATTTACTCAATTTAGCATTTATATGTTTGCTAATGTAATGTTTTACGCTTGATCCTGGAGAAGCAGACTTTTCATTAAGAGTGAAATGCTTCGGACTCAAGGATGTCTGCAGTGTGACAGATGTGTATGAATTGTGCATTGGTTATGGTGATATCTCATTTTGAAGGAAGTCATTTCAACTACAATGGCAGAGATAAGCATCGATTTTAAAGAAACGACCTCCTTGGACAAAGAAGGATCCCCTTGTAACAACACCTCCCTACCATCGTCATCAAACCGTAAGGTGAGCTCCCTGAAGTTGGCCTTCACTTCTCCCAACGTCTTAAGCCAGTCCAACCCAAGAACAACATCCGCTCCTCCCAGTTCAAATAGAAAGAGATCCAACCTAATCACCACCCCGTGCATGTGAATCGTGACATCTTTACACACACCTTGACATCGCACCTTATGGCCATCGCCCACTTCCACTACATATGGAAGTGTTGAACTCACAGATAGCCCTGCCACTCGAGCAACCTTAGGACTGATGAAGTTACTTGAGGCCCCACAATCAATCAAAATAACCACCTGGTGTTGCGCAATGCTACCCCACAACTTGAGAGCTTGATTCGACGTTAATCCCATAATACTGTGCAAGGAGAGATGGAGCTCCCGCTCGTCAACCTCCTCTGGATTATCTGAACACCGTAAACCACTTCCCTCATCTTCGTTGTCATCCTCCTCTATCATAAGGAGATGAAATTGCTTGTTGTTTTTGCACCTATGGCCCTTCACAAACTTCTCGTGACAGTAGAAACATTCTCCCTTCGCCATCTTATCCTGCCATTCCTCGTTGGACAGACGCCGTGAGTTTGTCCGCGCGGTGCTCGCAACGCTCTCCCCAACTCGATTAGGGCTCGAACTCTGATTTGGGGATAAAGTAGTCGGTCCGTGACTTGTTTTAACAGGAACGCGTGTAGCTTGCGTGCCACCACTATATTTACCCTCAGTGTGACGAAGAGGATAATTAGTTGGGTAATGGTTGTGGGCTTTTCCATTAATAGCTGTTTGGGCCCTCAGCCCACTCCAACTATTGTTTTTGCCTATAGCATAAACCTCATTACGTTCCTCCACGAATTGGGCCAGATCCATTAACTCAGCTAAAGCCAAATCGCGCCCACGGATGTGCAATTCCACCACTATCTCATCCTTCAGCCCATTTAACCATATGTCCCTGAGCATGTTGCCATCTGCATACCCTAACGGCCCAGCCACCCTTTCAAACTCTTCCCTGTACTCCTTCACGCTACCCTCTTGTTTCAGCCTCAACAATGGTGCAAATGTGCAATTAGCAGTGACCTCTTGAAATCGCCTCAACACATGTGACCTGAATTGCTCCCAATTTGCTCCCAGATTTTGACTCTCCCACCATTGAAACCAATGGAGAGCCTTACCCTCCAAAACAATCAGTACCGATGACAATTTCTCAGCCTCCGGAATGCCATTAATGGTGAAATAACGCTCAGCTCTATGGATCCATCCATAAGCATCATCCCCATCAAACAAGGGCAACTCCAGCCTTCGCACGGAGGTATCGTTGATTCCTGCATTTCCTAGAAGAGTTCCTACAGCCGCGCTGCTGGCACCGCCTCCTCCGCTCGGTCCACCCACTCCCGTCGGACCTCCAGTGTCCTTCGGTCCTCCATTCGGGTCCTGGGTTTCTCCATTGGACCCACCCAATCCCCCATTATCTCCGGTATGACCACGATCCAACTTCAAGCCATTGATGATTCGTCGCAGATCTTCTTGAACCGATTCAGATTGACGAAACCGCATCTCGATTCCTTCCTCCAAACGCCTTGAATGTTCTTCGCTATTATTGAACCATAGCGACAACTTCTCTTCCAATGTCGATAAACGATTTTCCATTTTCCTCGTCAGAACCATAAAATGCTCCCAGAATTGGAAGCTTTGATACCAATTGTAATGTTAACAGCAACAATGGTCAATTAACATAACAACTGAGAATGAAATTAATGAGAACTCTGTAATGGTTTTCTGGTATTGAAGTAATAAAGGAAATAGAACTCTGTTACATTTAGAGCAATTCGAGAGTGCTCTATTCTCTCCTCTTTCTTACTCTCTAACTGACTGCTCTCTCCTCACCTTCCCCATTACATATAACAAATTACAATCCATTACACGCATACTACACCACCCAAACCCGTAACAACCCGTAACTGATTATTCCATCACGCTCTCCTACCCCTCATCAGCTGCCAAGTCCTCCATACTGACTTCTTCCACGTCCTCACTATTGACTTCTTCCACGTCATCCTCAAGTGTCCTTTGGCTGACTTCTTCCACGTCATGCTCAAGTGTCCTTCGGCTGCGTCTTTGGTATACCTGAATAGGCTTTGTTACATGTTCCAAGTGATTTATGAATTCAATCTTCATATAGTTGATACATATTCTGATGTTGATGCATCTCTTATTGAAAAAGGGGCGGCCAATTGGTACACTTCTTTGGAAACATTAAAGGCAAAATAGATGATAATTATTGGGACCAGGGTACTTTGGCATCTGCTGATTCAGTGCCCATGCTTTGAATTGTGACCAGGGTGAAGTTTAGGGAGGAGACACTAGTGGGAGCGAGCGGTACAAATAAGGTTTACAAGGAATTGGGAACCCAAACATTGTAATTGAAGCATTGGACCGAGGTGGAGTTATTTCAATGGTTATATGGTGTAAAGAACCAATTCAACCCAAAAGCTTAAGTTGTTTAGTGAAGGCCCATCAATGGTTTATATACTTCTCTAACACGCCCTCTCGTACAAGAGCCCACTGGGCATGAAGGGCGGATAATGCACAGGCCCACCTATCTGTGCTAAGAAATTCCACAAGAGAAAGTGGGGGAAGGTGAGGATCGAACCAATGACACCGAGGCTCTGATACCATGTAAAGAACGAATTCAACCCAAAAGCTTAAGCTGTTAAGTGAAGGCCCATCAATGATTTATATACTTCTCTAACATATGGCACTTACCCAAGCCTTGGGGACAAGGTGAATCTTTTAGAGGGGCAGAATTGTTAGGACTCATATGGCTACTAAGATATCTAAGGCAGCAAAAGTGAGGTGATTGGGGGTTAGGATGGCAAAAAATACAAAGAAAGGCAAAACATGAAAATAATTAATGATTATGTCATAGCGTCATAAGGTCACTGGTCACCATAAATCTTGTAAAGGAAGCACAAAAGGAAAATGTTCCAGATGCTGGAAATGCTGAGTGACTGGGTGGTGCAGTTAAGAACTCAAGGATTGGCTGGGTTGTTGGGATTATGGCTAGCTGCTTTACAATAAAAACAATGAAAAAATGGACCTGGAAAGAAGATATGAAACAAAGGCTGAGATGCCAAAACAAAGTACATACTTGATATTGATACCTAAGGGGCTGCATATAAACATGAGCATAATATAGGAGTAGCGGAATTGAGGATGTTAAGGTGGTTATGTGGTCATACAAAGATGAATAAGATAAGAAATGAAGATATTCGACGAAAGGTAAAAGTAGTATTGGTTGTTGAAAAGATGAGAGAACATAGATTGAGGTGGTTTGGGCATATAATGTGAAGACCTCTAGATAATCCCTGAGAACAAAATTTTGTTACCAAGAACTTGACACAAAGAGAGGAAAAGGTCGGCTGAAACTTACTTGGGGGAAGGCAGTAAAACAAGATTTAATATAGTGAGATATAGATTAACAAATGGTGTGTCTTAGGACGGATTGGAGTAAAGTTATCAACATCGTGGACGGTTAGACTCGTTTTTCTTCCTATATTCTAGATGATCCCTCTTTTTGTCCTTCTCCCCTGTATCTCCTTTTTTTTTTTTTTTTTTTTTTCTTTTTTTACCTCTCCCTCTCTTTTTTTTTACTCACTATTTTTCCTCTTATATATTTATTTTTCTTTTATTTCTTTAATTTGTTATTTATTTCTGTTTTTTCTTTTCTCTTATGTATTTTTATCTCTTATATATCTTTATTTTCATTTTATTTTTAATTTTTTATGGCTATTTTTTAATTTCTACTTTTATTTATATATTTTTCTTTTTATTTTTATTTTTTTCCTCAATCTTTTCCTATTTTTCATTTGGGTTCATTTGCCACCGATCCCAACTAGTTTGCAATAAAGGTGAGGTTGATGTTCATATTGATTTGGATCAATTAGGATTAATTGTTACTCTCTGGAATTATTCTGTTACCTAAAATAATTCTATTTCTCTTTTTATTCCTGTTTCTCAGCGATTTGATCTGCTAAACATGTCAAGCCATCTCCCTATAAATTGTACTGCCTATGCTCTATATGAAAAGAGAAAAATAATACCAGTCTCATATTCTGTTTTTCTTTACCTCCTCCGAAAGTTTCACCTTGTCCTCAAGGTGAAATTCAGGAATCACTCCTTCACCCATGATTCTGCAGCAACCCATCAGCTTTCCTCCATCAATATTACTTGAAATTGCTTGCTCTTGCATGTGTTGAGGACCGTGCTGTTCAGCACACATGAAACCCAACCCTTTTGTCATTTTCTTGCAATTCAGCATCTGATACCTTTGGAATCCTCCTCTGCTTCCAAAAGTATTCTTGAGCAGTGAACCTCAGGGTACCAGCATACAACTAGAATTTCTCCTGAAATTCCTCTATTGATGATGCTTCTGATAACATCTCATATGGGTTTTTTGCCTGTTGGAACCATCTTGTAACTATAGTTCTGAATCCCTCCTAAGATGGATTTGATGAGATGCACTCCCACCGCTGGAAAAAAGCCCTTCCCTTTATAGCCACCCTCACTGTCAATTTTCCTCTTCAGTTTACCCCCTTGATATGGAAGTATTGCTCCAAATGATTAACCCAACCATAAGCGTGCTCCCTCAAAAACAAGAGTATCTCCAATCTCCTTTGTTCTTCACTGTATCAATCGTGTGTTCATCCTATAGATCCACTCTATGCAGGTATTTGAGAGGCTTCCAATTTCCACTCCAAAACGAACACTATTGATTCCCTTCAATTATTAATATGTTGTCTTCTCTCTCTTTTTAACTAACTTTTGATACTCTAACTGTAACTAACTGTTGATGCTTGGAAGATTTCTAACAATTGCCTGTTTGATAAACTTCAGATATTTTTGCAGCATTATATACTGCCGTGATGGTTATATTAGGTAGAAACATTGTAGTCAGAACATACATTTATTGTCTTCAACTTATCACATGAGAAGGCAAAACTAAGTCTCATTCTTCTGCTGAGTTACTGCTTAATTGGTTACTCATGACAGCTTCAGTTACTATGCACTTCTTATGTTGCAAGTTCATTTTGGATGTTTGAATGCTTATTCAAACAAAATCTTGATGATATATTTAAAGTCTTTTTTTTTTTGGTGCAGGCATCGGGAAGATGACAAATGGGAACATGATCTCTTTGATGATGTTGAACGCCAGATTAGTAGTATGGATTAATTATGTTATTCTCTTATGCAAGTATAAGTTGCCACTGTTGTTGGATGCCAATTGCTCTTTTTGAATCGTTTTGACTGTTTGTTAATGGCTTGTGAAGGTCACAAAGTTACTGCTCATGATCTTCGTCTTAAGCTTCAAAAGAAAGGTCTGCAACCTGCAGCACAGAGCGGAAAGAGCTCTATTTCAAACGTGCGGGATCTCCGTGAAAGGCTATCCGGGACAATGATTCCACAACCTAAAAACTATGATCCACCAACGTCAAAAGTGGTTGTTAAACCAAATAGTAAAAGCATTGGTATTGAGGCTCCTGCAGTACAGATGAAAAGACCAGCTAATCCAGCTGCTAAAAAGTTGTCAAGAAAGGTATTATTGATGTGATTTTTTATTTTTTTTTAAATAATTGATGAAAACTTATTGTTTATTTGGTTCTTGACATCAATTTTAATGCATGTCATTTCCTATGATCACCTTTATGCATGGAACTTTATATTTAAGAACTGAACAAGAATCTATTTTGATTTCTTCCTTTTCATTGCTTTGTGAGGGTATATTGATGATTAGCTAGTGTAATGCAATAATACAAATTTTTTTCAAAAATTACTAAAGCACTGATTACAGTTACCCATAGGTATATTATAAAATTACTCTTATTTGGGCTATACAAAACATGGTTGCAAAGTCAACTCAGGAATGGTGTACACGTTGGAGAGATGAAAAATGCTAGTAAGGGAACTCAGCAAGGTGGCTGGAATAACCATTTGCCTTAAGAGCTGGTTGAAAAAAAATTGCATAACCAAGAAAGAAAAGACTTTGCTGGAATGACCATCTACGGAAGTGTCCTGGCAAGTAAGTATACACAATAAGAAGTAAAACTTTTTAAGTTCATCAAGAACAAATTTGCAAGCTTCAACCACACGTCTAGGACAAAGTTTGACAGGGCTCAGGCTGTATCTGGGACAAGGGCTGACACAACATTTGGGATGTAGATCGATGGGGCCAAGCAACATCTGGGACAATGCAACAGGTCTAGAGTGCAATTTCCAAATTTCTCCCCCTCAATGTTATGTTGGCATTGGAAAAGAGATAAACAACGACACGAAGGGTCGGATCTGATGAGAGAAGAGTGTGGACAACTAACTTTCTCTATACATAATGGAACATTGATATAATTGCTTAAAATGGGTAACTCGGGCTTGATAACATCCTTGAGAAGGACATCAGAACCAGAATTAGACATGGGTCATACCTGTAAAGAATCATTTCAATCACAAAGCTTAAGCTATTGGGTGAGGCTACATTAATAGTTTTATACTTCTCTAACACACCCTCTCACACGAGAGTTCACTTGGCTTGAAGGGTGGACAATGCGCAGGCCCACCTACCTGTGCTAAGAAACTCTACAAGTTTTAACTATTTATTAATTAATTGGGGGGCGGTGAGGATCGAACTCGTGACCACTTGGTCACTAAGGCTTTGATATCATGTAAAGAACCATTTCAACCACAAAGCTTAAGCTATTAGATGAGACTACATTAATGTTTTATACTTCTCTAACAATACCTAACAACCAAAAATGCATGAACATTAACGCAGGGAAGGAAAAAATCTTTGCAATAGCGCAAGAGAATGCTTTTGGACCTAAGTCTTGGACGAATGGACTCGTCTCGTCGGCACCAAAAAACTCACTAGAAAAAATTCTGGTCACTAGAAAAAGCCTGAAATGATGGACCCACAAAGCCAAAATACCAAATTGAATTAAAGGGGGTCAAGGAACTCAATAGTAAGAAAGTTGTGGGACATGTCAAAGAGGATGATACCGCTCTGATACAATGTTAAGTAACATGGAAAAGAAAGGCAAGTATTTAAATCCATGTGTTTTTGTTGGGTTAGGAGGGGAAGCTCATGGTAGGGGAGAACTACCATAAATGGGCTCAGTGGCATTCCACCACATTAAGTTGACCCAACACTATATCTTAACCTAAAACCTTAAGGTTGTAGGTTTGTAGGTCCTTCAACTTATATGATTCTCACTTAGTCCATTTCTAACCAGCTTGAGACTTTACTTCTCATCCTTGGATTGTCAAAATTCTCCCCCTCAAGTGTTAGTCTCGAGCCCACATTTGCTCATCCTCAAGCGGAAGCTTCTTCAATTATTCATGGGGTTACATTAAAACTTGACTGTACTCATCAAGTCCTTGGTTAACATGGGTTTAGAAGCCTCACAAACCTGAATACTATCCACCATCTCCAAATGCTTGGTTCACATAGGCCAATCAACAATTGGCTCTGATATCACTGTTAGGTAAGGAGGGAAAGCCCATGGTAGCGTAGAACTACCATGAACGGGTTAAGTGGAAATCCACCAAAATAAATGGGCTCTACACAATATCTCAACTCAAAATCTTAAGGAGTTAGGTTTATGGGGTCTTACACTTATATGGTCCTCATTTTGTTCATTGTAACTAACTTGAAAGTTAACTACTCATACTTTGAATCAAAGGCCAGATTGGTTGCAAAGGCATTCACCCAAACACATGGAATAGATTATCAAGAGAATTTTGCTTCAGTTGACAAGTTCAACACCATTCGAGTCCTCTGATCTCTGGCTGCTAGCTTGGATTGGTTCCTACAACAGTTAGATGTGAAGAATGCATTCTTTAATGCTGACCTAAATAAAGAAGTCTATATGGATCCTCCACTTGGTTTTGCAAAGGGAGACGACTTGGTGTGTAAGTTAAAGAAGTTTCTCTACGAACTTAAACAATCCCGTATAGAATGGTTCAATAAGTTTCACTTAAGTAGTCAAGAGGAGAGGTTTCTTTTAAGCACAGACCGATCATACTCTTATCCACAAACACTTTAATGATGGTAAAGTTGTTATTCTTAGTATTTATGTGGATGACATAGTCAATTACTGGTGATAGCAACTTTACCATCCTTATGTAGGTTCCTTGAAGATATATATAGCAAACTAGTTTAAACTGAAGGACCTATGAACTCTTAAATATTTTCTTGGCATGGAAGTGGCTTAGAGCAAGACAAGAATCACTATCATTCAGAAAAAGGATATTCTTGATCTTTTGTTGGAGACAGACATGCTAGGATGAAAGCCAACCGAGCCCCTATTGAACCTAACACTAAGGTATTGAAGATGGGAAAGCAGTGGATAGATAGGGAGCAGTATCTGAGATTGGTTGACAAATTGATCTACTTATCTCATACTTAACTTGACATTGCTTTTGCAGTGAACATGGTTAGTCAATTCATGCACTCACCCAAGGAGAAAAACCTTGGTAAAATCCATAGGGTTCTTAAGTGCCTCAAAGAACACTACAGGTATAGTACTATTTTGCAAAAAAAGGTATAAGAGGATGACTGAAATCTACACTAATGTAGACTGGGCAGGTTCATTAGTGGACACATATGTTCCTCAGGCTATTGTATCTATGTGTGGTGCAATCTTATGACATGGAGGAGTAAAAAACATATATTAATTGCAAGAAGTAGTGCTGAGGTACAATTCCGAGCTCCAGCTCATGGAGTTTATGAGGGAGTCTGGTTGAGAAGACTACTTGAAGAATGGATGATCTCTTATTTCGTACCAGTAAAACTATATTGTGATAATAGGGCAGTTGTTGAGATTGCTCAAAATATGTTCACCCGGATAAAATAAAACATGTGGAAGTGGAGGACCACTTCATCAAAGAAAAATTAGATGATGGAAGTGTGTGTATGACATACATTCCTACTAAAGAGCAAACAATAGACATCCTTACTAAAGGCCTACTTAGACTAGTGTTTGAAGATCTGATCACTGAATGATCAATATATATCTCCCAACTTGAGGGGAAGTGTGGAAAATCAGAATATAATGATTATTATTTCCATATATTAGGGATATTGTCAAATCCCTAATTTATGGGAATCAAACACAATCAATTAGGATCGGTTTCCTTTTCTTCTTAATTACTGTTGACTTGGTTTCCTTATTTCACTCCATGTAGTCTGTAATTATGTTGTAACCTATCATTGCTGGAAGGATATATAATACACAGAACCCTTTTTTACAATTTAAATAATTTCAGGGAAAAGTGTTTGTCATTTTAAATGACATAAAGTTATGTCATTTTAAGATAGAGATAGACACAAGAAAATATTTTTTTATTTAAAATTTAAATTAAAAAAAAAACCACCCACTTTCTCTCTCATGATTTCCATTCCTTGTGTTTATCTCTCTCTTAAAATGACATAATTTATGTCATTTAAAATGACAAACACTAAACCCATAGTTTCAAGAGCAAAATGAAGGCTCTATTATATAAAGTGACTATGACAGTTACATAAGCCTAATTTAATGATGCGGGACTTCTTATCAACCTATTTTCAATACTTCTAAAATGTGGATATGAATAGTTGTACTTAAATGGACATCAAGATAATATTAGTCTCAGGTGTTGAAACTTAAAACTGTTGATGTGCTGGTTGGTGGTCATTTTGTGTTGAATCTCCTATATTACAGAATTTCATGTTTATTTAATTTATAACTTAATATTTTCTCCTTAAGTGGATGAATCTATCTTAATTTGTGTTCATAATAGGTAAAAGTTAGTCAGTTCTTTACAAAAAACTTTTCGTAATTAATTTCTAAACTAATTGAAGGTAAATTGTTCTTGCTTTACAGGCCGATCCTTCAGTAGATGAATTTTTGCAGTCCTTGGGTCTCGAAAAGTATCTCATAACTTTTCAGGCTGAAGAAGTATGTTGTACATCTGGTTATCTATTTCCCCCATTAGTGAAAGTTCATTGCCTTATATTAGTTTTGATTTGACAATCAAGAGTTAATATTTATATGTAAAAGCTGTTTTTTCAGGTTGATATGACAGCTCTTAATCATATGACTGATGAAGATCTCAAGGCTATGGGTATTCCAATGGTATGCATCGAGCTAGTTTTGGACTAGTGTACTTTTTTTCTTTTTTTCTTCAGCTATATTTTGCAGTCCCATTGGTAATGTGACTCATGATCAATATGAAAATGCCCCTGTAAATCGAAATGATGCCTTAGACTCCATTCTCTATGGTAGGCTACAAATTGGGAGAATTTTCAGTTACTCTAAACTTCATAGGACACGCGAAAATTTTTAATGCAAATTTAGTAATAGTAGAAAGGCTAGGTAAATTAAAACGGGTTGTGTCACAATATCTTAAGTCTGGTTGGCAAAACTTAACCTGAATATCATACGTTCTTTACATTCATTTTGTGATTACGATGGAATATTTTACATTAATACCGGGGTTTGGGTCCTTGATGGAGTAGGGATTTCAGACAAGGCTTGTGTGTTTATACAGGAAGTATTTGACTAAATAACCTGCATTCCACCCTAACTTCTGGCAAGCATGCTTTAGTTTTGACTGGTAATCCATTCATTAATACCCATTTGATTTTGTTAAAACACATTATGATTATTCTTTGTTGGTTCCAGGGGCCAAGAAAGAAGATACTTCTAGCGTTAGAGTCGAAAGTTTGACATGTAGTATTGGTATTGCTATTCTTAGCCGGAAGGACCTGTTGTTTATGGACTGTGCTGGAAGATGGATCAGCATACTGAAACCAGTGTAATAGCATAGCTCGTTTGACGTCTTCATTTTATTATTATTATTTTTTATTTTCTCAATTTTTTAGACATGATTCAGGTTAGTTTTGGATTTTATTTTGCTAAACCCGTCAATCTCCTGGAGCTTTTAATTGTACCTAGTAATTAACAGATTTGATAGGAGTTTGCCTTTTGAATTTGTCCTGAGGTTTGAACACTCGTGGGTGGAAATTTCCTTCTCTAGCAAAACATCAAGAACATCTGTTGGATGCCTCAAGCGCTAATGGTGTTGTAACGAACCAATGTAATACTGTGAAGAGGGAATGGATGATACTATTCAACACACTGAGATTGGTACCAAAATGAAATACCAAACATGGGTTAACTAGTTGCATGCTATAAATCCATTTTCTAGCTTGTTTCAAGACATTCAAAGTGAAATGACTGCGGCATTAGCTTGTGTAAGATTTCTATTATTGCTAAAGTGTCAAGTCTCATTTGTCATGCATAATGAAGTTGTTTGTGATTGCAATTCTTATTAGTCATTGGGACTGCTCCTTCAAAATTCCAATTGGGGAAAACATAAACACGACGAATCAAATCCTAATTTATTGGTTCAATTTAAATGTAACAACCTTATTGATTTATTCATCCATAAATATGGGCATGAGTGCTTGTAATTTATTTTTTTCATACACATGAGCATCTATGGATGGAGGGAAAAGAGTAATTTTAGATCTAAATTGCAAAATAATGAACGTTTATAAAATGTATCCAAAGAAAAAAAAAGGTTTATGAAAATGAATACGGGAGGTAAATATGTTAGTATCATTTTTTTTTGGAAGATTATCAAATAAGAAAAATGTCTACTTACAATGAAAAATTACGAGTATAAATATTGATTTCGTTCCCAAATAATTGACCTTTTTATGTTTTAGTCCTTGCAATTTTAAAATTAGGCTTTTAATAGCTCTTATGTTATTATAGATCAAAAAATTTGCAGCAACACTTATTTTTACCAGGATACTGTTCTGTATTCTAGATTTTTTTTTTTTTTTTTTTAAATTTCAGCATATGATTCCGTATCCTAGTGTTAATAGATTTGCTGCAACTTTTCTCGTTTGCAGCGACAGCAAAAACGAGAAACCCTTAAAATTATTAAAGTAGTCTTCGTAATTTTATTTCGTTTTCAATGTCAAACTTGTGGTAGTCATGATGTCCAAAAATATTGGCTTAAATATGTTTAGGCCATTAGGCGAGACCATACCCTTACTAATCACTTCCTAAATGTCCCGTTTTTTGGTGTAAGTGATGATATACTACTAAAGTGGATATTGGAGTAAGTCTATAGGAAGTCCCACCACGAGGGTGGAGGGAGGAGCGAAAGGAAATGTGAAAGGGTACGAAGTGCATTTTGAGGTTTAAAAATACATATACATTTACATGTAAGTAACTGTACTGAATTGTCACAACGAATGTCTTAAATATGATTTTATTATTTATAAAAAAATTATTAATTGTGTGTCCTTACATGATTATTTCATGCTCTCCATCAGTTTAAGGGTGTGCAGAGTGAGTGGGCATATGAGTTCCATGTAAGTATAACACTTCAAAAATTCCTTTTAAGTCCTTTAGAAACTTAAGTGGAGGAATATTATCTTGGGTCAAAGGAAATGTCAATTAGAGCTAATAATTAACTATTATAATAAGGGAAGGTTATATTTACAAATTTTTTGTTTACAAACTCTTACAAATTATATTATATCTGACCGGTCATACTTCAATCAAGAGTGTATGACTGGTCAGACTTAGTGTAATTTGTAAAAAAAAATTGTAAATGGATCTTTCCCCTTCTAATAATATTAAAAGGAGAAGCATTATAGATAACACAAAAATTTGTACCTAAATTTAATTAGTGAGTCAAAAAAAAGTACCAAAGGGAATGAAGGGAAGTTTTCTCATAATTTATTTTTCTATGGATGGAGGGAAAAGAGTAAGTCTTTCACCCGTTGCCTATCATTTACAATTGACCAATGGCTTACAAATTGTTACAATAGAACATTTTGGGTCCTCAACAAAAATTATAAGCCCCAATTTAATCATTTAGAAAAAAAAATCGACTCGTGATCTCTCAGAATTCAAAAATAGACTCAGATAATCAAAATCGTAGTCCCTCTGAAATTCAAAAAGACTGATATTAATCCCTCAAAAGGATTAACATGGGTCTATTTAGGAATTTAGAGGGATCACGAGATGAATTTTTTTAAGAGATTAAATTGGATTCCGTAATTTTTGTTGATGACCCAAAATATATTTTATTCTTTTTTTTTTCAAAAAATTTGTGTGTGCACTTGCATACACTTGTACATATACAGGTCCTCCATTGATATATATATATATATATATATATATATATATATATATATATATATATATATATATACATGTACTTGATTTTACATTTTAAATTGTTATAATGTTAAATATGTTTTTCAATTACAAATAAATTAAAAAATTATTTATTTAGTATAAGATTTAAACTTGGCTCATGAATTTCGAGTAGGCTGAGTTAAAGGTGAGTCAAATTTAGTCAAGAAAATAAGCTCATTTTATTAATGAGCTAAGTAGGGGTGTTCGCGGTCTGAATTGTATCGATTTTGGATGTAAAAATCATCCAATCCAATCTCTTTGGTGTGATCATGTAATCATCTATTTGGTTTGCATTTTTTTTCAAATTCGATCCGATCCAATCCAATTTTTTTCGATTTGGATTGGATCGGTTTTCGATTTTTTGAAAATCTTAAAATTTATTTCATGATTATTGTGCAAATAATATCTTTTGTGTATATTGGCTTTGTAATTTTTTTTAAAATACAAAAGTTATATAATATAGTTTTTTTTTTTGGACAATGAGATATGAAGCTCTACATAGATAAAATTTTGTTGATAAGATGTGACTAGATTTTTTCTTGAGTTTTGTTGATGGGTTAATGGATCTTGGGGTTAGAAATTTTTGGGCTATGATTGAAGAAAGACTCAAGTAGGTAGAGGAAAATTAATATATTGGATCGGTTTGGATTGGATCGGTTTTCATCTACCAATCCGAAAACCGATCCAATCCAATTAAAATTTATGGTTTTTATTCGGTTTTTGATTTTTCGGTTTTCGGTTTATTCGGTTATCGGTTTTTCGGTTCGGTCACCGCGGTTTGAATCAGTTTGGATCAGTTGATGAACACCCCTAGAGCCAAGCTTATTCTTGTAGAGTCGAGTCTAAGATAGGGCTGAGTTGGCTTGGCTTGGTTCTGTTTTGCTGCTACTTTCACCGTTTTATGTTAGAAAAAATATACTCTTATGTTGTAGGAGAAAATTTTTCTCTCCTACTCATACATCGATTTTTCGTGTTTTTTTTTTTTTTTCTATAGTGGGTGGGTCCCACACATGATTATTTCTATTGCATGAGAGAGTTCTCTCCTATTGCATGAGATTAATAAAACCCTTTACGTTATCATAAACTCAAATTTGACTGAATTTTTTGATTAAAAAACAAACTGGGAAGTGACTTGCTTATTTTAATAATATAAAGGATGGGCTTTAGTATCTCCAAAGCTTAAAAAATTTGAGCATACAAGGAGAAGAAACAAAAGTAATAAAGGTCAATGATGAATAAATTAAAAAGACATTTCCTCTATTCAATACAAGACCTACAACAATTAAAAAAAAAAAGTAATGTTAAATTAATAAAGTAAGCTACATTCTTTCCCATGGTTAACGTTTAACACTACATATGCTTGACAAGAGTGTTATATATGAGTTTCCTAAGTACTTAAAAGTCCAAAGAAAGGATTTGTCATTGCAGAATTTAAGACAAAACCAGCTGAATTTAGTAGTTCCGTGTCAACCTTTTCTTCGGGAAGATACAAGAAATCACCCGTTTTCTCAAAACCACACAGTTCAAGAAACTCTACACCTCCATTTAAACTTCCAACTCTATCCTGTTCAAAAAAATGTAGAAAAAAAAAAAGAAGCAATAAAAATATATTCAGGGCAATGTAATACTCTTGAATCTTAATGCTACTTATTGAACCCTACTTTAAGGTTATTGTGTTACTGAATCAAAAAATAAAATAAAATATCAGTATGAGGTGCACAAAAACTGAATAGCAATAAGTATAGGCAACAAAAACACATTATATAAAGTAGTAGCTCTCAATTTTGATATTTCTTATTGAACAACCCTTTCCTTTTTGGAAACAAAAATGCACATTGAATGATGGTGGAAATGCTAAAATAATTTTAGCTTGAGATATACAATAAAACATTAAAACTGGCTTGTGAAGTGTCCAATATGAGATTGGTGCATCTCTCAAAAGATCAGAGGGGTTAAAATATGGACATAGAATTTCCAAACACCAATGCAAAATGACTCCAATGCTGGAGAATGAATCCTACAGAGGACATGTTCACCAAGTGAAGGAGTTCGCTATGTCAAACTAGTTCTGTAACGCAATGGATCTTCAGAAATGTGTCTGATCTACACAGCAACTTTCACTGTTCTACGTTCAAACTAAAGTTGTTGCTTAATATACATGATTAAACACAAGGAACCTACCACTAGCCAACGGAAATCTTTCTATTTTATAAAATTTTTTACCTGGAATAATGGGTTGCTCAGTCGGATCTTCCTGTACTTTTCCTCCTTGGGATTCTTGGTGACATTTCCAACATACACTAGAAGTGTTTCAAAGGCCCTTCTGACTCTGGTATACTCAACCTATAGAAAACATGAACTTTGATAAAATAAACATTTGAGGAAGAAAAGTAAGGCTATTTGATAGTAACATTTTTATCAGAAGCCTATTTACTATCAGAAACCTACAATAAGGCATGCATTCTATAAATTTGGGAAACAAAATAAAACATGCTCTTAAACTTCCTGCCATAATTTCTAGTTAAGTTTTCAGGATGTGTTGATTACTCGTCAATTCTCATGTGTTATGATCAAAAGTACTAACTTACAAATCTTACACAAAGATTAGGCCAAGAGTTAGGCTTGAGTGTAGTCATTCTTTATTATTGTTCTAGACCAGTGGTTTGAACCCTTTACTCGGCCAGGGAATGGATTCTCTCATGTGTGATGATGAAATAAGAGAGAGAAAAGTGTATAATTTTTAAATGAGTGATTGCGATCAAATAACATGACCACATGACCACTTTTTCACATGAGAGAATCCAAATCCACTCGGCCAACTCCCCACTCTCACTAAGAGACAAAATATCCACATCAACAATACGCTAGAACATTCTCCACTATTGCTACATGATTCTCCTCACGATTGGCACTACGCATAGTGACCTATTGAAACCATTTAATGTCACCTTAACATTTTTTTTGAACATTTCACAACTACCTATATAAGCACAATTCACGCCTTAAGGCAAGACATTTGAACCCTTTTTTTTTTTTGTAGTTAATCCAATCCTAATTACCTCTTTGAGGCAAGTTGGCTCCCTCCGATATCTCCACAAGCTTCGACTCTTTGAGCCTGCTATGGGACTAATTCGGAGTGAGAGACGGATCAGGGATGAAAATATTTAAGGCAAGACATTTGAACCTTTTGTCTATTGCATTCTCTCTGCCCTCTTGTGTACACACTTTAGCACTCTGCAAATGAACACATGTTGTAAATAATAATTATTTAGTTATTATTTAGTTTTTATTTAGTCATTTATTTGTTGTATTGGGCCAAGCCCATTAGGTCAAAATTAGGTCAAGTATTCTCTATAAATAGAGAACCCTTTGTACAGATTATTTACAATTCTAAAATATATCAGAATACCCTTTTTCAAGTTGGTATCCGAGCTCTTGATCTTGAGGGCTCTGCTTCCGCGCCTACGAAACCTTTTTTTTGATTCCCATCTCTCGCTGCCATCAGCCGCTACCGGAAAAATTTTCCGGGGACCTCTTGGACAGAGAGATCACTGTTTCTCTTTGTTTTTCTCTCATCTTCCTCAGTAACAAGACCCCAAACAGAACCGTTCATCGTCACCTTCAAACAGAACGCGTTTTTCACTAACGAAGAACACTGTTCATCGGGATTGACCTTCTTTCTGGCGGCCATTCAACTCCGATCAGCCCCAGATAGGTTCGCAACCCTTGGACGACCTTCGCCTGAAAAGCCCAGCCCGATCGGACGTCAGACGCGCCGCCACGCACCGCTCCTTTCCCTGGGCGTGAATCCCACGCGCCGCCAGCTTCACCGGCGCGTGACAGCGCGTGACGGTGGTTATTGGTTGCGGACCGGTGCAGTCTTGATCGACTTTCCAAGCTCGTTCTGGATCTGTGCTCACCTCTTTGATCGGACGTCGTTTGGTAATTTTTCGTGATTTTTTGGCTTCTTGGTACTATTCTTTGAGTTTTTTTGCAGTATGGCCGCTTCCGACGGTGATTCAACTCTAAACTTATCTGAAAAAAATTCTACCCCATATGTGGTGACCCCTCTTGGTCACAATGATCTTCCAAGTCTACATCAGAGTTATCGATTTGACGGATCAAATTATTTTTCGTGGTCTCAGTTCATTCGTACTACCATCAAGAGTCGCAATAAGATTGCTCATCTTGATGGCCCTGCTCCTGCTGCCACGGATCCCGATTTTGCTGTTTGGGATAATGAGGATTCTCTTATCATGACTTGGTTGTGGAATTCGACGACTCCTGAAGTGGGTCGTCACTGTATGTTCCTGTCTTCTGCTATGGAGATTTGGGAAACTGTCCGCTCCACTTATTCCTTGAAACAGGATATGGCTGCGCGCTATGAATTGCGCAATAAAATATTCACTACAAAACAAGATTCTTTATCCGTGACTGAGTACTATGGCACCTTGAAGGAGTTATGGACTGAACTTGATCAATTTCAGAGTTTGAAGATGAAATGTACTGCAGATGCTACTACTTTAGCCAAGGAGGTGGAAAATGAGCGTATTTTTTATTTTCTTGCTGGTTTGAATTCCGAGTATGATCCTATTCGGGTTCAGATACTTGGCAAAGAAACTTTTCCATCCCTTTTTGCTGTTTTCAATACTGTTCGGGGAGAGGAGAATCGTCGGGGTGTTATGATGAACCCTGATAAATCTGTCATGCTATCTTCAAATGATGGTGCTGCTTCTAAACCCACTGATGGGTCTGCTATGATTTCAACAAAAAAAGGATGGTTCTACTTACAGGAGTTCCTTTCCAAAATATTCTGATGGAGCATCTTCTAGACCTAAGAAAGATGATTGCTGGTGTTCTTATTGTAAAAGAACAGGTCATATCAAGGATCTATGCTATCGCCTCCATGGAAAACAAACTGTCTTAGAAAAGATGGCAAGGATGCGTGGTCAAGCGCATTTTACTTCTTCTGATATAGCTCCTACACCTAATGAGACCCAACCTGCATTTCGTCCAGATGAGTTGGAACGACTTCGGACCATACTTGATTCTCTGAGTAAGCCATCTGGTACTAGTGATTTGGCTATGACTAGTATGAGCTCCAAAATTTCTTCTTTTCTTACTTCATGTATTGATTTTAAACATTCTTGGGTTGTTGATTCTGGTGCTACTGATCATATGGCTTGTTGTGTTGACCCCTTTGTTTCTTATAACCCTACCATTGGCACTCATACGATAGCCGTAGCTGATGGCTCACATACATCAGTTGCGGGTTCTGGTAACATAAAATTACAGCCTTCCTTACATCTCAAAGATGCTCTTCATGTCCCTAAACTTTCTACTAATCTTCTTTCTATTCATAAAATCACAAAAGATTTAAATTGCACTGTAACCTTCTTTCCTACTCACTGTGTTTTTCAGGATCTCGCCACAGGGAAGACGATTGGGGGTGCTAAAGAGCAAGGTGGGCTGTACTATCTGGTGTCACAATCTCCTGCAACTCATGTTAAGGATCACATCTTACTGTCACATGGCCAGTCAACTGCTGATTCTCTGATTTGGCTTCATCATAAGCGCTTGGGACATCGTCCATTTAGTTTACTCAAGTCTTTATTTCCGTCTTTGTTTTTGTCTAAGTCTGTTGAGTCTTTTCATTGTGATGTTTGTGAGTTTGCTAAGCATCATCGTGTGTCTTTCCCTTCTAGTATTACTATAAGTGTTGAACCTTTTGATCTTATTCATTCTGATGTTTGGGGTCCTTCTAAGGTCCCTCATTCTTCTGGAAATAAATGGTTTGTTTCTTTTATTGATGATTGCACTCGTGTAACTTGAGTTTACTTAATGCATGAAAAGTCTGAGGTACAACAATTGTTCTTTCAATTTTATAAAATGATCGAGACTCAATTTTGTAAAAAAATCAAAAGACTAAGGACAGATAATGGTACTGAATATGTCAATCACTCTTTTTCCCAATTTATACAAAATCAAGGTATGATTCATGAACTTACTTGTGTAGACACCCCTCAACAAAATGGGGTTGCTGAAAGGAAAAATCGTCACCTTCTTGAAGTTGCTCGTGCCTTACTGTTTGAAACACATGTACCCAAATGCTATTGGGGAGATGTCATTCTTACTGCAGCGTTCTTGATCAATCGTCTACCCACTCGGGTTCTCGATCATGTAAGTCTTATTCACTCCATGACTTCTTTTTTTCCTTCTGTTCCAACTTTGCAAAGTCTTCCTCCTCGAGTGTTTGGGTGTGTTGTCTTTGTTCATATTCATAAACAGCATCGCAGTAAGTTGGATCCTAGGGCTCTTAAATGTGTCTTCCTTGGATATGCTCTTGATAAGAAGGGCTACAAGTGCTATCACCCTGGAAGTCGGAAATTTTTTGTTTCTATGGATGTTACATTTCAGGAATCTGAGTCCTTTTTCCAAGGTCCTCATCTTCAGGGGGAGAATAATTCACCAGAAGACTCATCACCTTCCTTCTTTGAAACTTCAGTGTCTACTCCTTCACCTGTGTCAGTGTCTCTTCCTCTTGTTCCTGTTCCTAATGTGTCTATGTCTGATCCTCCTGTGACTGATCCTCCTATGACTGATACATCAAGTACACCAGAGATACGGAAGATTGTAACACCTGAATTGGTATATCAAAGAAGGAAACAACCCACATTGCCTCAACAGCAACCTCAATCGTCTGAACCACTGGTAAGTCTTGAATCTCATATTTCTGATCATGATGTTAATACTTCTGATGACTTACTCATTACTACTGCTTCTGATGATTTACCCATTGCTTTAAGAAAAGGAAAAAGATCTTGTTCCAAGAAATCTTGTTCTTCCTGTCCCTCTTGTACTCAATACCCTATCTCCCATTTTGTTTCCTCTGCTAATCTTTCTGTGCAGCACAAAAGCTTTGTTTCAGCACTAGATTCTACTTCAATCCCAAAATCAGTACATGAAGCTTTGAAAGATGGGAATTGGGCTCAGGCCATGCAAGAGGAGATGAATGCGTTGGAGAAAAATAAAACATGGGAGGTTATTGATAGACCCAACGGAAAGAAAGCAGTAGGGTGCAGATGGGTTTATGCCATAAAATATAATTCTGATGGCACTTTTGAGAGATACAAGGCTCGATTAGTCGCCAAAGGTTACACTCAAACCTATGACATTGATTATGAAGAAACCTTTGCTCCAGTTGCAAAGATGAATACAGTGAGAATCTTGTTGTCCCTTGCTGCCCATTACAATTGGGATATAAATCAATTTGATGTGAAAACTGCTTTCCTCAATGGTGAGTTAGAAGAAGAAGTCTACATGGAAATCCCGCCTGGTTTTGATTCTGTGAAGGGAGAAAATAAAGTTTGTCGATTAAAAAAGGCCTTGTATGGATTGAAGCAGTCACCTCGTGCTTGGTTTGGAAGGTTTACTAAGGTTATGATGACCTTAGGATATAGACAGAGTCAAGGAGATCACACTCTTTTCTTCAAGCACTCCCAAAATGGGAAACTTACTGTGCTCCTTGTATATGTTGATGATATTATTATCACAGGTGATGATTTTGTGGAGAGACAGATTCTGCAGACACGGCTTGCCTCTGAGTTCGAAGTCAAAGACCTTGGGAAACTGAGATATTTCCTAGGGATAGAAGTAGCTCATTCAAGCAAAGGAATTTTTATCAGCCAGAGGAAATATGTTCTTGATCTTCTCAAAGAAGCAGGAAAGCTCGGGTGTAAACCCTCTAATACTCCTATTGAGCAGAATCACAAGATGGGCTATGAAGGAGAGAGTCTTCCAATTGATAAAGGACAATATCAACGGCTAGTTGGGAAATTGATATATCTGGCCCATACTAGACCAGACCTAGCTTATGTTGTTAGTGTTGTCAGTCAGTTTATGCACGATCCAAAGGAAAAACACATCCAGGCAGTAGAGAGAATTCTTCAGTATTTTAAAGGTACTCCTGGTAAAGGATTGTTATTCCGACATGATGGCAATCTATCTTTAGAAGTCTACACAGATGCTGATTATGCTGGATCCGTGACTGACCGTCGTTCTACCACTGGTTATTGCATGTTTCTTTGCGGTAACTTGGTGACATGGAGAAGTAAGAAACAAGATGTGGTTGCCAGATCAAGTGCAGAAGCTGAATTTCGAGCTATGGCTCAAGGCATTTGTGAGTTACTGTGGCTGAAAATTGTACTAGATGATCTCAAAATAAAATGTGAGGGACCTATGAAGCTGCTATGTGATAATAAGTCCGCTATTTGTATAGCTCATAATCCAGTTCAACTTGATCGGACTAAACATATTGAGGTCGACCGCCATTTCATCAAAGAGAAACTTGATAGCGGGTTGATTACCACTCCATACATTCCCACTGGGCGTCAATTAGCTGATCTATTAACAAAGGGGCTTCCTTCAGACAGATTTCAAGAACTTACTAGCAAGCTGGGAATAATAAATATCTATTCCTCAGCTTGAGGGGGAGTGTTGTAAATAATAATTATTTAGTTATTATTTAGTCATTTATTTGTTGTATTGGGCCAAGCCCATTAGGTCAAAATTAGGTCAAGTATTCTCTATAAATAGAGAACCCTTTGTACAAATTATTTACAATTCTAAAATATATCAGAATACCCTTTTTCAAGGACACATCACATCCTTCTCCACCATAACACACTGGGAAATCCACCACCTCTACACATCTGATCTGACCACCCATAGAGAGACCTGGTTCTATAGTACCTAGTCACTCTTCCTTGGATGGTACAACAAACCCTCAATGCACCTATCCGGTATAGAATGAAGCATATGATCCTATATCCATCTAACAGAATGACTCTCCAATACCTGTGTTAAATCATATACTGGTGAAATTATGTTAAAGGAAAGAAGATACAAGTGATTCACCAGGTGGTTACGCTTGAGAGACCTCAGACATTCTCTCAAGTGCTCAACCTTTGCATTTGTATAAACAGGCTTCGAATTCTGCAATTTCCATTAATGTAAAAAGTGTCAAAATGTTTAGATAACTTACGTTCTTCAACAAAAGGATAAAAAGGGCGACTGAAAAGAAAACTAGTTATCCGATTAAGAAATACAAGGAACTATCAATTCAACGTGAAAAAAAAAAAAAAACAGATGTTAATCATACCTTTTCATGCTTTACTGCAATAGCAGATGATCTCGCAATGGCTTGGCCTTCTGGAGGCAATCCAAGTTTAGACCTTCTATTTAACTGTGAAGATATACAAACATGGAGCCATTTTAACATTCAGGAATGCCTAAATGGATATACTGAGAAGACTATTGACTTCAAAGTATTTAGGTGACTGTTGTGTTTATAACCACCCTAGCCAGGTGTTCAGAGAAGCAATTCTGTAAGTACAAGACAGACTTAAGTTGTTGGGTGAAGTTACATTAATGATTTTATATATTTCTAATAAGCCCCCTCCCACGAAAGCCCGTTGGACTTGAAGGGTGGATCACGCGTCATGCCTACCTGTGCTAAGAAACTCCACAAGACTTAATTATTTAGTAATTAAATGGGGGGCGATGAGGATTGAACCTATGACACGGAGGTTCTGATACTATGATAAACGTCAATTCAACTCAGAGCTTAACCTCACACAAGAGCCTACTGGGCTTAGAGGATGGATAATATATAGACCCACCTACCTGTGCTAAAAAACTACACAAGAGTTAATTAATTATTAACTAAATAGGGCGGTGAAAATTGAACCTGTGACACCGAAGCTCTGATACCATGTAAAGAATCAATTTAACTTTAAGTAGTTAGGTGAGGCTACGCAAATGGGTTTTATACTTCTCTAACAAACACAAATGAAAACATATTTTAGCTTCCACAAATCGATGCAATACCATTCAGGGACTGTGTGCAAAAGACTTAATGTAATTATGAAAAAGAAATTTGTCAAACACAATACAGTAAAACAAAAGTTGTAATCTAAACTCTTACAGCTAATATTTAGAAAGCTAGTTCTGTACCTTATCCTGCTCTAGTTTCTGGAGAACTTTTTCCCTTGCTCTTTTCTCTTCTTCTTTTTCCGCTTTTTTCAAGGCTAAATACCTGATAACAGGATAAGACTTACACATAAATTGGAATAACTAACTTCTTACAGAAATAAAAAAGAAGCAACTACTGAATATTAAGTTACCGCTTTCTTTCATTTTCTTCCGCAATTCGCTTTGCCTCGAGGAATTTTTTACCTGCTTGAATCCTCTCCTGCAATCAAAGAAATAAAAAGATTATAAAAATTAATGCAGGCATGTCTAAGGGCTAACTGCAACAGATAAAACCTGAACCAATGAAAATCTCAACTACCTTTATGATAACAGAAAACTAACCAGTTATTCTAGAGGCTACAAACACTTAAGATACAGTCAGCTCACATAATTATAGCCAAAGCAGAAAAATATCTATCATTTGCAAACCGAAGATACATTCTACTAAAATTTCTATTAATCAACTATAGATCTTTGATATTTATAGGGATAAGCTCCTAGAAGGTGAGGGCTCATTGTTATTGATGGGATTCATCCTCAATAGTATTAATGGGACAATTTTGTGATACGAAATTGTAATGAATCAATTCAACTCAAAAGCTTAAGCTAATTGGTGAAGCTGCATTAATGGTTTTTATATATCTCTAGCAGAAATATTTAACTGAAAAATTACTTTCATCTTCACTCAGATATGGTAACTATATGTACCCATAGCTTGATGCCACCTGCATATCATGTACAGGTTTTGAAACCAATACTAAGTTTCTGGTTAAATAAATGTTGTTCTTGCAACAGATATTACACTGTTTTATGAGAAATTAAATAAAAGCATCTTAAGAAGGGATTTCCAAAAATTTCATGGTTTTATTTCAGAAAAATTGCAAAAGGTATTAAAGGTAGAATTCTAAGGAGAAAAAAGTGTCACGATTTCTTTTGAGGTTAGCTGCATAGGACGACCCAATATATGAACAAGACACTTTTATCTAATCAATTGGACAAGTTTTCTAAATTGTCGAACTACAGAATAAATATTATTACATTCCAGTCCCTTCCTTTATACTAAACGTTTAATGCCACACGTATGTGGTTCCCAGAGGAAAATAAAAATATCTAGGGACTTTAGTTTGAAAGGCCAGAAAAATCTTCATATTTTTTTCCAGATAAAGTTATCTCGTGCGATATGTCATTTTGGTTTGAGTAGAAAAAAATTCATCACAATTTTTGTAATTTTGATTTATTTTGGGAGCTATATTAGTCTTTTTGTGACAATGTATTTTTTTTCATTTAACCCAAAACGATGCTGTTTTGGGCTTGCTTAAGATTACTCATCAGTAGCACTTCAATAAAACGTAGTGTTCAGTTTGAAATACACTTGCAAGCTTTTGTTATATTCAAACACAATGAACTTTCATCTAAAGAGGCACAGTTAAGTTACTTTTAAACTATTTTATCAAAAAAAAAAAAAAAAAAGTTACTTTTAAACTTGTTTATTCTCTTCAGGCTTCAGTATGTCATTCTGAAGTGCACAATTGATTAAAATTTAATTAATTAATCTGCTAGAACCTTAATTGTAGCTGTAGAAAGTAGAAAATGCTCACAACCTTCTATTTCTAAGCAAATACGAGGCAACTGTTTCAAATTGACCAATTGTGCATGCAATTGTCTATGTTATTTTTGTCAAATAAATTTCCCACAGAAAACTAGTCTGAACCTGATTGGCTTAAGCCTAGGTCAGCAGTCAGGTCTCTTGCAAGCTCTTATTTTGTTCTCTTCTGTGACATCATTCCACTGTCTGGTTGCAGTATAAATTTTTGGTACTACTGTTGTACCTAGATTTAGTGCACCCCATCAATGAGAATATTACACGTTAGAGGAGAGAGAGAAAATTTGACAGAATTTTTTTTTTTAACTGACATGTAATATTTTTATTGGTGGGATGCACTGAATTTTTAGTATAGCAGTAGTAACAAAGATTTATTCCTGATTGCATTTTAAGTTTTGCTTATTCATTGTCAATTGATATTGAGTATGATTTGGAATTTAAGACTATAAACAAAGGGAAAAACTACTCTCGTGTTACGGGAGAGTAGTTCTCTTTGCAACAGAAACATCGATTTATGTGCTGCTATTTTTTGAAAAGTAGTATCTTCGTCTACATGGTGCTATTTGTATGAGTTAATGACAGATGGCAGATTAACAGACATTCAATTAAAGCATAGACAAGAATAAGTATGTATTATGTATGAAGAAATTCTGAAATTAATGTACCTTCTCCCTTTCTCTCTCAAACATTTTTTCTTCATCCTCTTTCCTCTTACGCTCTTGTTCCCTACAAGAGCAAAATATTAGTGAAAATAGGAAGCAACCAGAAGATATGGGAAAGTATGTGTTGGAAACTTCTCACTATCAAATCCAATTAAAGCATCACAAGAAATGTTTATTATCTATAGTTGTCAATAGTTAGACAATCTCAACATATCAAAATGAAACAACTGCTCCCACAAAACAGAAAACAAAAACTAACAACTTGGATAGAAATAGAGAGAAAGGCCACAAAACCTTAAAATCTGTGCTTTAATTTTCATCTCTTCTGTTGTAGGGAATGATTGTGGGGACTCAATATCAATCTCTATATCTACCTGTTGAAATATAAACGATTGAGAAATAATTTAAACCATGGTTTTAAAGTGTGGTTGCAATTGCAATTGTGTAAATGGTCTATGCTCAAAACTAGGCTCACATCCAAGAATAAACCTCAGTTTTCCAGCTTATGAGCTTGAATATATGTGAATAAATACAAAACAAGAATTCCCATTAGAGATAGTCCAGTTGTAGGCTTGACATAGAATTTGAAAGTTAGAAGTATTATAATGTAGTAGAAATTTTTTTGTCCTTATCAAGCTATTAATGTTATTGGCAAAAATGTTTGTTTACTAGCAAAAGGATTCACTACGAGTTACAAAAAACTGCATGAGAGCCCTAGAGTTTGTTCCCTTGATTGTTTTGCATATTGATGGATGATGAAACCAATCTTATTAAACTGAAACTGACGAAAACAGTAATGGAGCCAAGCTCCTTACAAACACTATCGGCAAAACTAGACACCAAAAGACCCCAACTCACCCTCAGAGCCAACAAACTTAGGCCCCAAGAGATTCCCAATTCCCCAATATTCACTCAATACATGCTTTCCTCACTCCCCACATTCACCCTTCCTTTTGTACTATCCCTTAGAATGAATATTCTAGAACTAACTAACTCTCTTCCTTTTCTCTCTCTATGTAACAACCCCTATTTTGTTATTACATTTATCCCTCATACTCAGGCTCATCAATGGATGAGTTGTATAACTAAAAGATTAAATTCTATAAGAATGAACAAAATGACAATAGACTCTTAAGCTCCTTAGAGTTAGTTTGCTTGGAATAATGTAGGAAAAATTTAGGATATGTTAATTATGGTTTGTTATAACCTAACTTCCTCGCATGCAGTCATGCTTCTTATGAGTCAAAATAAGCTGCTTCCAGAGGCCATAGGAAATCATTGCTGCTCAAATTCTAAAATATTATTAGTATCAAAGACCATAGAATATTGAAAGGAACCATATGACCATTTTATTCCTATAATGCAGCATGGTAAAGAGATCATAAGTTGCATCCACCTCCCAATCAAATAAAGCCTTCTTCTTGTTTTTGTGTGTGTTAATACACTAGGTATAGCTTTCTTGGCATTCTGATACCTTGTTACTAGATATGAAGATTTATACTAATAGCCAATGTTAATCCATCCTCTTCTTTATTGGAAAGAACCAGGAGCCATAATCCAAAATAATGGATGAATCCATTTCAAGCATCAAAGCAACGATGAATTTTCCTACTCTAACATATGTCCTAACCCCTTCCCGGACTACACACATGATCCTCGCACGTCAACTTCCTCATACATCCGAACATGCCATGTTCACCAAATTCAACCTCAGATGTCTACCATTATTAAACTTCCCCTCATGTTTTTTTAAATTCTTTTATAATTTTACATCTGTCACAATATATAATTATCAAATTCGCAGTTGTAAGAAGTGTAGCTAGCAAATTGAATAATATTTCCTCAGCAGGGCAACCTCCAAAAAATTCTCTATAAAAACAATATCAAAATCTTTGAAAGAGCTAAAACAATCTTTCGCAGGCAGCTGGTGAAATTACATCTGCATCTTTTATCATGTGTTGGTGATTTCTGATTCAGGAAAGGGACCATTTCTGTCAGATTTCTAACTTGCGTCTAATTTTATTTCCTGGATTTCAGTTCAAATACTAATATCCCACCCCTGGTTCTAAGAGTTGTGACTAAATGTTACTTAAATTTAAACCAATATATAAGTGGTTATTATGAAAAATACAAAGCATCTTCCTTTCCCGATATGCATCTGGTGAAAATTAAATAATAAATACCCCAACAGAAAATATAAGAAATAAGAAAAGTTGGGGTATGATATCATACCAATGGCATCTCATCAATATCAGCGTCATTCTCATGATCAATCATCCAATTTATAGCATCCTCTAAGCTGGTATTGCCTAGTAAAGTAAACATTTGTGTTTAAGGAAATATGTACATGAACCACTAAAACAAAAGGGTTTTTATAATACACAAAAGGCTATCAAAAAGAAAAAAAAAAGCCCAAAGTACGTAAGTGAAAATTATAATACACAAGAAGCCCACTTCAAGACAGACCGCAAAAGGGTTTTTATTCTGTGTCAATTTTATCTCCTCATAAACCATAATGGGGTCTTACTCATATTAGGAATTCTTTCTATTTTACTATGATAACCATAATTTTGATTTGTCTTTATAAAGTTTTATTCAGGACAATGAGAAGAACTGTATACGTTACATGATACAAACGCAGAGTGTTCTGTAGTTTGAACTTTGAATTTAAATCTACAAAACTAACTCCTACCAGAAGGTATCTGGAGCCTATAAATTAGGAAAGCTTCTGGAATCCTCTTACTTAGTCTTTCTACCTTACCATCTCTCTTTGTCTATGCATACATTCATACAGATAAATAGTTGAACAGAAATGCATGCATACATGTGAAAACCATATCTATGACTTAAATTTTACAGCATTTCAGTTTCCGTAATTGCAACTGTTTTAGCCATATCAGGCTAAGGGTTTACAAGCACTAAAGATCAAGTCAGATTACAGAGAAGAATTCAATGAGTCATAATATAAAAGAAATTCATTTTTATTAACAAATATTTTGTTCAATTGTAACTCACCTTTAATAAGCATTTTATACTAGCTGCTAGAGTCATAATTAATGCATTTTTTTTTTCTACCACATAATTTCCTTTCAGTTGTAATGATGCATGCAAAAGTGAAAGGTTTATTTTGTCTAACACAGTTTTCTATTTTCATTTGGACCATGACAGACATGTATGGCCTAAAGCACAATTCTAAGGCATCTAATGTTAAAACGAAGTTGTCAATAGAGAGCCGAAAATTGTGTGTCCTCTTTAATCATAGCATTAGTGCTTGCTTAGTTAGATGAGCAAGCCCAAAGCAAAGTTACATAGTACATTGTTGCAGTGTCTGCATGAGTTAAAATGAAGCTTAAAATTAATGAACTTAGAGTCTCACTTTCTTTGTTTTATACGATAGTGGCACCCTATAACTTCATTCAAACTACACAAACCCCTCATCACTATACCACTACTAGTGGCTTTCAATTCTCACTTACTTTCTAACATTTGCCTTACAGTAAAGAATAAAAACAACCTATAAAATATTAGTTAGTCTTCACTAATTTATTCAATAAGGCACAATCGAAACTAAGGCAAATGAACCAAAACACCTTCCACAGCGCACATAAATTTCATGTCCACAGATCCTAATTATATAATGATTCAACTGACCAGAATAATGAAGTGCTCTGGTTGCCCGTGCCAGTGGAAATCCCATTTCTTCAAGGTCTTCAAGCAACTTTTTGTTCACTTTTGGTACAGCCATTTCTATAAATATAAAATGATAGACTGCAACAAATACAGAAAACGAATCATTTCTTCTTGAAACTAAAAACAGTAGATATAATAGGTTATTTCCCATACTCATAAAGATACCAAGATTATGAGTAATACAAATTACATTACAAGTGTATTGAATGAATAAGAACCCAACATATTGAATGGAAAAAGAGAACCAAAACCACCGCAACCCCAAGATGAATTCCTGAATAGACAGTAACAACTTCATGGAACCACAATACAGCAACAACAAAGCATTACCATGCTAAGAGAGTTTTGCTATATGTAACATTATAAAATACCAAATTTCTTAATAAATCCACTAAGAGCAATATCTTTTTTAATGAACTACAGTTTTTGAAAGAAAAAAATGGTAGATAAAGGATTCAAAAGCATGGAAAAAGAATATTGCAAGCTGAACTCTGCTCTGTGGCATTAAGCATTTAAATTAAAATAAAAAGTGCCATACAAGTTTCAATTCAAAATTGAAATACCTTTTTCAAATGGTGTGATTTTGGGTGGTGAAACAAAGGGCATGCAGCTGAGGAAGCTCTGAAATGCAAGGTATAAATTTGTTTACAACTCTTCCCAGTGACTTCAGGGAAAACCAAGCATGCAAGTAACTAGAAGAATGAAATGCCATGAAAGAAGATTCTCTTACCGCTGACAGCACCGGAGAATGTGAGAAACCATTACCAAATTCAAAAAAATTCTGACTTTATTTTTATTTGTTTTGCCTTCAACATTCTCATTCTGATTCTTTTTCCTTTTGGTTTGCTTGTATGCAAAGAAAAGAACTTTGTGCCATGCATTTAATTGAAGCACCCCTTTTCTGAAGGTAAATTAAACAAGGAAAATCATACTCTATTATATTAATTTCTCATGGCGCTCATATAAAAAAATATGAGTCTCTTTTCTTTTCTTTTCTTTTCTTTTCTTTTTTTTTAAAAAAAATTGATAATCCCCACATTTAAACTTTTGAAGTTCTTAGAGCACAACAGTGCCTGCATGTAGCTCCAATCAAAACAATTCATCAATTTAACAGAAGTTTGCATAATTATTTTTGGTTATCCACTTTTCTTTTCTTTTTATATTGTAAAATACAATAAATATTTAATAAAATAAAAACACTTTCTAGAATAGCTTGCAGGACAATTTTAACTTTATACCTTTTGTTCTTTGAATCGTAACAATTAGTTCAATGGAAAACTTTAGTATTTCAAAGGTTTGCTCTAAAATAAAAAATACTCCTTATCACGTTTTTTTGTATTTTGTTAAATGTTCGATGATGGACCTAATTTCATTTGGGATTATTGCACGTTGTGCATTCTTGTCCACCCAATTCTCTCCTCCCTTCCTATAAATACTCCTCAACCCAATGCAGTCCACATTGCTACTCTCGTCTCAAACTCTTATCATTCTCACTCCAACTTTTACTTTCTGATCAAATTCCTAAGCAATTCTTCTCCAAAAGGTAAGAAGTTAGAATTCTATCATTTTTTTAATTATTTTAATTAATATTATAGTAACTAGAAATTAGGAATTAGTGATTGATTAATATTCTATCATTATTTTGAATTTTTTTTTTAGTAATTTATAAATTATAAAATTTAACTTAATTATTAAATAGGGTTCGTTTTTTCTGCAGTTACTGCAGATAAGTTATCTGCAGTAAGCTCAATACGACGTCGTTTTGGGGTAGAAATTATAGTGTTTTTGTTATTTTAATTTATTTCAGGGTTATAATAGTCTTTATATTTATAATTTTTTAAAAAATTTATACCAAAATGACTTCGTTTTAAGAATAAATGCAGATAACTTATCTGCAGTAACTGCAGAAATATTTTTTCCTATTAAATAAATGATAATTTTAATAATGATTAGTAAAAATTACTGAATAATGAATGATTGATGAATAATTTTTAGTCCTTAGTTATTAGTAGTAATTAATTATTAATTTATAATTATAATAGTTTGTGAACCTTAATTAGTGACTTTAAATTTAATTATATGATATTTGGATTAGTTTTGTATACTGTATTTTTTTATTAGCTATATTTAAGTTATAAATTAAATTTTAATTATTAAATTAATGTTATTTGTTAATAATGATATTTTTCATTGGATAACTGATTATTAGTCTTAATTTATAGTAATTATAGTAATTTGTGAATAATAATTAATGACTTTAAATTTAATTATATAATATTTATGATAGTTTCATCATTTATAAGTTATAAAAATAAATTTTAATAATTAAATTAATGTTAATTAAGTTTATTATTATTTAAATATTTTTATTAATTATGGCATTCACTATTCCCTTTAGGTGGTCCAAACACCATTCAAAGGATTTTTTGGAATGAGAGACCAGGTTATAGGATCCTAACCATCAGGTGCAAGAGATTAGCAAAATATGATGATGTCCTAGACGCTACCATATCTTCGTAGTGTCGGTTTTCTCGCTCCGGCTTTGAAATATTGTTGAAAGAAGTACAAATTTATAAATTATTATATTAAATCTTAGAGGTAAGACTTCACTCAAAAGTTTTACCAATAAGATATAATTTAATTTGTTAGAATTTGTAAATATAATTTTTCATTAGTTGAAATTTATGAATATTAATGTATTATTGATTTTTTTAGATTGACAATTGTTTGATCATAGCCTATGATGCACGGAGACTGACACAGGACAGGGACACGACACGCCGACATGTTAATTCTAAAAAATGGCATATTTCGACACGTTGGGACACGTTTTGATATTAAATAATATTTTTAATATATATAATATAATTTATATTTAATAGATATAGCAGTCCATAATAAGTCATATAACCAATCAAATATTCAAATTTCATAACATAAATATAAACAAAAATAATTTTCTTTACTTTGTTAATTTTTTATATCAAATTTTATAACAGAAAAAAAATAATTTATAAATATTTTTTATTTATTTTTCAGTTAAAAAAATAAAATTAAGACTAAAAAAAACATGTCCGAGCGTTGACCGCGTGTCAGAAAAAGTTGACTGCGTGTCTAAAAGACATGTCAGAAAGTTGACCACGTGTCCCAAAATATTAACGTGCTGAAGCGTGTACGTGTCGGACATGCGAAATTTGAAAAATTTAACGAGTCCGCGTTTGTTTAAGAGATCATAGCTCTAGCGGGGCAGTGGAGTCCAAATACTCACGTTTTCATGTGCCTCGCCTTTGGTCGAAACTTCAAACATCTATCCTACAAGACCTTCTTCATTTATTCTACTAATGTAATATACAATTGCGAACGGAACTCTCTTTTTTTTTACCAAAAAAAGAAGGAATGAATAGGAAATTTGGAAAAGTTTAAGTAACTTTGGTCTTTGGAAAGAATGAAGGGGATGGCGAATGTCCGTGAGTTGGGAAGAAGAAGGAAAACAAGAGATGTGAGTGAGAATTGTTGGGTTGAGCGGTATATTTAAGAAGGGAGGTGAGGAATGGGTGGACCGGATAGCACCACGTGACACAATCTTGAGAATGTTGCTGGAGAAGGAGGTTCATGACATTTTCAATTTCTCTTGTTTTCTAAAAAATAAATAAACAAACTAGTGCAAGAGGTCCCAACACTCCAATTAAAAATAAATAAATTAAAGTGATGTTGTTGGAGTGGCGAGTGACGACACCCTAAAAAAACAAAAACAAAAATGTGAGAAAAGCTACGACACTAAATTACTACCATAGCATGGCCCTATGATTACAATAAACCTAAGCAAAAAAGTCATGATGTGAATTATTTTTGAGGTTGACCTAATTCATGTGAGATTATAGACTCAATCAAACAAAGACCCAATAAACCCAAAAGATTGAAGAAGGAAATGTGGCCCTCTCATATAACTTGAAGATCTCACAATCTCCTGACATATATGACCAACTGGTTAGACAATTGCTGCTACACAACTTCAGCTGCTCACAAGACCATGACCCCCATATGAACTAATGACTAGAGGACATGCACCTGCATGTCACAGCATCTATAAAGACTTAGCCTGACTATAAGCATCTCGTCCAGAAAATAGCCTGACCAATAGAAATGAACACTATCATATTGAGGTGACATAAGCAAGACACTCATTTACTATAAATCCAGAGGCATTAAGCCCATGTACGATCCATCTTTCCATCAATACTTAAACACCTTGAACTCTTACTTATTTAAGTATCGAAGTGCCTTATAAATACCCCTAGTCTTTCCTAAAGTACTAGCACCAGTTCAACCATCTCACCAACTATCTAAGCATCTCACAAACACCATATCAACCCAAACACCATTCAACAATAGCAAGCTCAATCGTAGGTGATTCAGCCGAATAGTTATTGGACTTATCAATCTTATTTTGTTATTTAATATGATTATATTATGTAAGTAGATCTTAATTATTTAATAGGCAAATCAATAGTGATGACGGATGATTTTGTCACTTTCTATCTTAATATATTTTTCTCTCATTTTAGATCATTGTTAATTTGCCCATATGTAATAAAGATTCTCTCAGAGCATGATCATGTTAAATAACATATAAAAGAATTTACTTCAAAAAAATTCAGTACAATATGACACAGGAACATGGGGTATATCTTAGTCATGTAAATGCTTTATTGTAAGAGGTATCAAAATTGAATCTATAACGCTCTCCTCTATTTATAAATTCCCTTTTACTAAATATGCTACATATATAAAAATAGTTTTTGGAAAAGAAAGTTTACGGAGAAATAGAAATACTTAATATGTCACGAGATTCTACGATATACAACTTGATATTTACAAATGAGCTATAAATAGAAACACTCTTATTTTTATAAATATAAGATTTAAAATAAGCTATTAACTAACATAAACTTATTTCCAAGCTATGTTTATCGTTTTATACTTTAAAATTTTGGCAAAAGGTAAACCCTGTTCAATATTTATGTGGTATAAGTTCTTCAAATAGTTAAAATAAACAACAAATAAGTTCGTAAATTTTTCCTAATATAGTCTAAATCAAGATAATTATCCAATATCATCATAATCAATATAAACGGTACAAAAAATCATTGAAAAAGTAAATCACCCAACTCCATTCTATTTATTACTTTGTCCCTTAAAAACGATTAAGTAAATAATGTAACACATGTTCATTTATAAAACTATTATATAACAAAATAAAACAAAATAAAATATTCATATTAAAATTTAAAATAAAGTTTAGATTTGACATAATCCTCACTATCCACTTATCTAAGTCCGGACCTACACTTGTGTCACTATGTGCAAGTGTAGAAACAAAGTCCTAAAATATTTAAGTTGAATCCAATCCTTCAGTGGTTATGCCTAGAAATAGATTTTGTCTAACCAGACTCTCCTTAATCACTTTCTTAATTAGTTCCTCTGTGCAACTACTTGAAGAACCATCAGCTGAAGGCCAAGGTCTTTGATATCCCATTAGATAGCATTGTTCACCAAAATGATCAGAATCTGATGTCCTATCAACCACTTTTGCATCAATTCTGCCCCTTTCAGGTTTGTCATTTTGTTTTCTCTTCAAATGAGCCATGTGTTGTGAATCTTCTTGCACCTTGTGAAGCATTACTAGAGATTCTTGCAGATCAAGAGCCCCTTATAGCAAATCTTTTGCAATATCTTCAGACCTTCTATCATATCTCACATCCTTAGACCATGAATCAATCATGTTGTTCAACTTTAGACCACTAAGTGTGCAGACAAAAATAACATTTTCTGAGTCCGCCACCGATCTAAGTGTTGATGAGATAAGGTAGGAGTTAAGACTACCAATTGGTGAGAAGATCTTGAGTATATGCTTACATGCTTAAAATTTCATTCAAATCTCCTAGTATTTTATTCATTCTTTATCATTATATTTCTCTCCACTCTTACCATATATGTTCTCACTCTCTACAATTTTTTTCTCCTCTAACTTCTACTAAAACCTTAACTATTTATAAGCCTTATTCCTTTATTCAATGAGACAATAATATTACTACAACCTTTGAATATTTATTCTTATTATTGGTTTTATAATTAATCTTTTTGGTATTTTTCAATGATACTGCTTCATTATTATTTTCATAACTGATCACCTTGTTATCGACATTTGATATTTTTCAAAGATGTTGCTTCGTTATTATTTTCACAACCGAGCACCTTGTTTTCTAATGATATATCTTCAATTTGGACTCTTTTTCCTACATAATAATCTTTACAACTCATCACTTTATTACCCCCATTTGGTATTTTTTTAATAATATCCTCATACATTTGTATAATTAAAAGAAGACAATCAATTCTTTTTTTTTTTTGGATTTCTCTCCCCGATAATCCTATAGGTTCCCCATGCACTAATCCGGAGTTCTAGGCAGGTTCATATTAATGCTTTAAACCCTTTTCAAAAATGATACTAGAGAGGATCGAACGCATGCTCTTACCCCCACATGCTCAACTCCCGTGCGCCAACGGAGTTACCATCTTTAAATAAAACAATCAATCTTTTGATTATATTATCAACTTATTGATCTATACTCACCACAATTTTTTTGTTCTTTTCTATCATTCTGGATCTTATTTTGTTATCATTTTTGGGGTGTTATATTAAGTTAGCACCTCCATTTTCATCTAAAACACAAGCAGAGCTTGTGTTAGCATGTATTGCACTACATAACTTTCTTTACAAAGAATATTATGAATTTGCAATTGAACCAATAGATACATCTTCATTTTCAATATTACTAGTTAATGAAGATAATTTTTAACCAATTTTTCAAACCTAAGAGCATCCATCCTGCTTAGCAGGCCATGAAGTTATATCAAATTGCTTTAAGATTGAGAAAACTGTATTGGTTTTCTTTTCTTTTTATTAATGTTGTTGCATTTTTTATTGACTCTTGTAACTTTGAATTTTGGTTAAAAATTCATATGATTTTTTAAAATTTTGTAAATTCATATTGTCCTTTCTAATCTTATAAATTTTATTAAAATTCTTTAAAATTCAATATTGTCAAATCTTAATTGTAAAAAAAAAAGAATCATTTAAAAAGTCTTGTATATAGATATTATTCTTATAAATCTTTTAAAATTCGTTGGATTTTTTATTCCCGAAAAATATTTTAAAATTTTAATCTAATACACCCACTAATTTATTGGGTAAAATTTAATTTTCTTTCACTTTAAATAAATTTTGAATAAAATTTATTATATAATAAAAGTAAAAAAAGATTAAAAATCTTTTTTATCCATTTACATTAATTGTTTTTCCAAAATTGAACTTTAAGACCTAAAAATAAATTTTTTTTTTTTTAAATTAATGGTGTTTCAATTTGATTTTAATGAGAAAAACTTCAATGCACTTCGAGCACCAAATTCGATGTACCCATTTTTTTTACTCGATGCTCCTAATCCTAATGCATTGTTCTATTTCTCCACTTTAGTTAATGTATATTCTCGAACATTCATTAATGGGCCAAGTACAATGGACCCGGTTCAATGTCACCCGACCCAAACACCCACGAGGAAGTATAGACACTTCGAGAAAACATTGCATCATCATGCTCGAAACGGAAAAAAGGCAGAAGCAGAAACCACTGAGACAGTGACAATAAAAGTTAAACCAAACTTCAACAAAATAATACACTTTGAAGTTTGGAGCTTATGCTTATCCATGAGAGAAAGAGAAAGAGAGATCAACACATAGAGATTGTTGTTGATTAAGAGAGACATGTCACTGTCAGGGAACAAACCCATAGATATAAAGCTGTTATGCCCTTCACTCTCAAAGGGAACTCAAGTGGTTGCTTGGGATGAACAAAAAATCGACCTTGGTTTTATAGCTCGAGTTTTTGGGATCGACCCATCAACGTTGAAGCTGAATGGTCACTTTATAAGTAGAGGAATGGACCTTATCTCTTCCTCTGTGACTTGGAAGTCTTTGCTCTCTTTCTTCTCTGCTAAAGGGTTGTCCACTGGGAAAGATTACACTGATCCTCTTGTCGTCACTGGCAAGCTCTGCAAAGTTGGCAACAAGAAGAGTATGTTTCTTTACTCTCTTTTTCTTTTTTAAGTTAAGTTTACAAATTTTTTTGTTTAATTCTAACAAATTATATTATATTGATCGGTCATGCATTAATTAAAAATGTAGTGTATGATCTGTCATAGTTACTGTAATTTGTGTAATATATGATCGGTCATATTTAGTATAATTTGTAAAAAAAAATTTATAAATGGATCATTTTTTTTTTATTATTGAAAATTAAAGTTGTAGCAATTCATGGATGTTATATGGGGAAAGTGTTTTTCCCTCAGTTTTGGCAACCAAAAACGTGGTTATTTTGGTTTTATAAAAAAAAAATTTATGGATGTTTTAAAAATTTTACTTTTGGTGAATTTTATTAAAGGGAATGACATTTCTGTATCTGTGGCTGAAAAAAAAAATTATTGGAGTTATTATTGTTGCTGCATTGTTTTGGCCAAAATTGAAGTCCCTTTCATATGTTCAGTTCTGTAGTTAGTGTTGCATGGTTTCTGAGAAAAATTTAATTGGGAGGATGATAGAACTGGATTAAGAATTAAGAAACCAAAACGAAGAACAAGGGAATTTTGGCTCAGAAAGAACTCTTTATGGATTTTCTGTATATTACTGAATGGGCAGATGCAATGCTCTGTCTCTGTCATCTAAAACATTAAGAGGAAACAAGGAAAGGAAAGAGGAGAATGGACACTGAATAAGGATTAAGATAATTGTATTTTCACTAAACTGACTTTTGTGCCATGCTTAACTTCTCAGAAATGTGGAAATACCCAAAAGGTTTAGACTGTTTAGTACCTCATACTCATTCCAATCTAACATCACCTTTGCTCCCACTTTTTATGAGTTTTTATTTTCTTTTATTTTTTAATTGCTTGTTACCTAAGAACATGAAATGGGTTGGTAGAAGGGGATAAAAATGTGATCACATGAGGCATTGTGATTGGAGTTTCTTACATAGGATCCTCCTAGTCTTTATATCTCCCAGGACATGGATTCCATACACTTCTGCATATGGCTAAATGTTACAGAAATATAAAATCATTAATGTAACCTCATTCAACAGCTTAAAATTTTGGATTGAAATGGTTGCTTAAACATGGTATCCGAGCCGACATGATTAAGTGGTCACGAGTTCGATCCTCACTGCCCCCATTTTAATAATTAAATATTGTGGAGTTTCTTAGTACAGGTAAGCGTAAGCTGGGCCTGATGCATCATCCACCCTTCAAGCTCAATGGGTTCTCGTGTAAGGGAGCGTGTTAGAGAAATATAGAACTATTAATGTAGCCTCATATAACAGCTTAAGCTTTTGGGTTGAAATGGTTGCGTAACACTAAGTCAACTTATCTTCTTCGTTGCTAGTAAATAAATGGTGTTTTTACATTCTTCTTTACTCTCTGTAATCTGTATGTTCTAAATAGGATTAGTGCCTTGTTTGATATTGTGAAGTATATATTTTGCTAGTTACACCATATTTTCTCCTTAAGTAGATTGAGTTGTGATTATGCAGGAGGATATGACTCGCAAGATTTACAAAATGTGAATGGCAAGGTGATGGAAGGTGAGAATGCTGGTAGCAGTAGAGGGATTCAAGTAGAAGCTATCAACTTGCTCAAGAATAAAAAGTTGAGAGAGAACAACTCAGGTACATGTTTTTAGTTATTTGTGAAGAATATATAACTGGTTGTCAATGTTTCCTTGTAGAATCATGGACAAGATATAAAGCAGACAGAATTCAATTTGATGATTACACATAATGACATTATAAGATTGTTATATATATATATATATATATATGAGGTAGGATCCTTTGACACCAGTGTCAAATTTTAAATTTGACACTGGTGTCAAATAGTCGTTAGATAAAAAAAAATCAAAGACTCTGATTTGCAAGCATGTGACACTATTGATCTTTTTTGATCTAACAACTATCAGATGAAGTGTCAAATTTGAAAATTTGACACTGGTGTCAAAAGATCCTACCTCTATATATATATATATATATATATATATATCTTGATGTTTATGGTATTCAGGAGCTACACCTTACCGAATCATGGACAAGATATAAAGCAGTCAAAATTCAATTTGATGAATATAAATAATAACATTATAAGATTGTATATATCTTCCAGTTTTTGGTATTCAGGAGGTACACCCGCAAGTTTGTAAACATTTATAGTCATTTGATGAAAAGTTCTGGAAATATTTTCATTATTTTGCAATATTTCAGTCATCATTTTGGTCTACCTCTGTGTGAAAGTATATTTGTATTTTATTTTTATTTTTAACTGTTACTTTTATTTTTTTTTCTATTTTCTTTCAAAAGGTGGGATTCTCAATGGCCTAAGCTGCAAGAGAAAGCAATTGTTGGAAGATGTCAACCTATTCAAGAAGCTAAAAATAAATGAGGACAAGTCAGGCATGTTCCATTCTGATCCTTCTTTCATCTTGCTTTTTTTTTTTTTTTTTTAATATATATCCACTGGTTCATGGATTACCCAAGTCTAGTTTGGTTCGAGCATACCCGTATTATGGGAAGGCTCTCCCAAGACCATTCTCTCCATCCAAAGGGCTTTAACTCGAGACCTCTTTTGTTTTTTTTTTGTTTTTTTTGTTTAAAGAAAAAAGTGTTTGTCATTTTAAATGCCTGAGTTTAGTGTTCCTTATATTTTGCTATATTCAGCATTCCTCTACCCTTCACATTTGGTTTTGTTTCTTTTAAGTTTTCCCATCAGCTTTTCTATGGTTTCTTCAGCATAGTGGCTAATCTTACTCATGATTGTAGGAACTCAAACCCCTACCCTTCCCAAGAAAAATCTATTATGATTTGTCTACAACTGCTTCATCATTAACACACTTGATGGATCTTCACAGATACTGGAGATGAAGTGAATGACCTCTCTGGCAGCATTTCACGCAGCCAGTTTACATGCAGTTACACGAGCCAGAATATGAAGCGGATAAGAGAAGATGAGGCAATTGTGGCAGCTAATTACAAAAGGATTAGATAATTTCTCATATAAAATATGGGAAAAGTATTTGTCATTTTCAATGACATAAAGTTATGTCATTTTAAGAAAGAGACCGACACAGAAAAAAAAATTATTCAAATTTTAAATTAAAAAAACCACCAACTTTCTCAATTCCATGATTTTTATTTTTCTGTGTCTATCTCTTTCCTAAAATGACATAACTTATGTCATTTAAAACGACAAACACCAAACTCATAAAATATATATCTATAGTGTTTTTTACCTTTCATTTGTTTTTTGTTTTTAGTTTTACTTTTTTGTTTTTTTCATTTTTGTTCATCTTGTTAAGTAAATGCTGTAAATTTATTGCTGTGTGTGATATACTTTGAAAATATTAAAGAGAGAATAGATTTTTACGAGGAAGTGCTTTTAGAGGATGTAAGGATTAAACTATTGCACTTTCATATGCTTGGAAAGTCAAATTTCTCTTGGGTAGTGTTTGGTAAAAGATTTATTTTGGGATTGATGGGAAAGTGTAGGTGGGTATTGGAAAGTTTGGTTCAGGTTTTTAAAAAAAATACTAGGCAAATAGGATAGATGAGGAAATGACTTTTGTGTTGATTTTTAGATGAAATTTACTGTTGCAGAATACCACTTGAGATGTGGTATTTTGAGATAACTGGGGAAGTGAAAAAACAGGTGCGAAGTTTCTTTCGAACATAGATTTTGCAAATTTAAATAAATTTTTCTGGTAATATTTCGGTCAACTAAATAATTTTTTTTACATTTTCTTATCAAACTCACTTTTCAACTATTTTCTTAGTATTCAAAAATTTCCTTCTCAACCAAACGCTCCTTTGAAGAATTGGGACTAAATGATAGACAGCACAAGGATAGATTATTCTATTTATTTTTTTTTTGTTTATTTTTGTCTACTATTCTAAAAGATTATTAAATCAAAATTTTAATTAACATTTATCTTTCTCTCTCTTGTTTAGATTTTGATTTAACAGTGTTGAAAAGTAATAGATAAAAGTAAGTAGAAATTCTATCTATTTCCAGACCATAATCACTAAGTTCCATGATATAGAATTTAATATCTGTATGTTTAAAAATATAGTGAGAGTATGCAAGTGTCCAGGACCAGCCTTACAAGCATTTGGCGCTTAAAAATAACGAATTTGATTATTTAGTTTCTTTTAATGAAATTAAAACGTATTAAACATAAAATAGAACTTCTATGTTCCGATTTACTTTAACTATCGATGTTCTTAAATCTTTTGAGCTTAGCATATCATTGTTGTTAAATACTGAGCTTAGCATATTCATTTGGCCATTTGAAATTGATCACCCATTCTATAAATATCATGAAGGATTGAACGGAAGAAAAATAAGAGCTTTTATGATATCTTTGCAAGATATTGACCTCTATAGCTGTTGAATGGACAGCCAATTCGAAGCGCTCATGTTTGTTTACGCCAGAGAAAAAAAAAACGCACAAAAGAAAAAAGATGTTATCAGGTTTAATATTTCTATGAAATAAAATTAGGATTTTATATTTATTATGTTACATAATATAATTTCATTTTTCTACACACATTAAAGAGGTAGGATTCACATATTTTTCTTTCTCTTTATCATTTCATTTTCTCTCTCTCTCTTCTTTATTGTGTGTTGGAAACTAAACTTATGTTATGTAACATAACATTAATAAAACCCATAAAATTATCTCCTTGAGTTATTTTGGGATTGAGAGAAAAAAATTATACAATAAAAATTAATATAGCCTCAAAATAAATTGAAATTATCTTGAAATTCTAATTTAACAATGTTAGAAATTGAAGATAAAATAGACATAAAAAAAAAGATAAACTTATCTTTATAAAAGTACCTTTCTCCTAATCTCCAAATAATATCGTTTCGGGATCACAACCTCTGATTGTAGAAATATTAAAATCATATATATATATATATATATATATATATATATATATATATATATATAGGGATAGGATATTGTGACACCCCAGTTATGTTACACCCAGTCAATCTCACCGTTAGATCGCTTATGTTGATTCAACGGTTATATTTATTTCCATCTTTGTATGGTCATGATTTCCCAAATTTAAAGTGAAAGCATTAAATATGGGAAATCATAACCATACAAAGGTAAAAATAAATATAAAATATTAAATTTGGGAAATCATGACCATACAAAGATGGAAATAAATATAACCGTTGGATCAACATAAGCGATCTAACGGTGAGATTGACTGGGTGTCACATGGGTGTAACATAACTTGGGTGTCACAATATCCTATATATATATATATATATATATATATATATATATATATATATATAGATCAGGATAACATTTTCGCTTGACTTCTGCCAATAACAATGAAGGTTAAACGATAGTTACAAAACAGATATATGTACCATATAAAATAGCAATGCCTCGATTCTAGGTTGTTTAAATGGCAACGCTTGCAGTATATGTGCAATTAAGACAAAAAGTGTTGCAATTTCTATTACTCAATAATAACTAAAATCAGATTGACAAAAAATTGTTTATAATCAATTTGGTGATGTACATGCGTTAAATGTAATCAAGTATTGTTTTGATCAATTAAAAACATACATGAATACAAGTATATTGAGCAGTGGAAGTAAGTCTTGTATTGTACATAAATTATATGCAATTAGAACATAGTACACTCTTTACCCCAAAAACAAAAAGAAAAGAAAAGAAAAAAACATAGTACACTAAAAAAGTACCTAGTCGGATGGTATCATTGAGAGTAGTATTGCCATGCAACAGCAATTCCAGCAACCAGTAGCACTCTAAGAATCAATTTTGAACTAATGAAGGATGATGATGATGGTGGCAGCGGCAGCTGTGCGGACTCTGAAGATCTCCCTCTAAGCTTGGCAGAGATTTTGCTTAGTACTCGACGAAACAACACAGCTTTGTTTGCATCTACAAACAGAAAAATACAACCCATTAGAAACTGGGTAAGAATACAAAAAAGGGGCAGAAATACATAATACTAGGGTCTAAACCGTAGGATGTATGATATTTTAATAAAGTACATGTTGCTCTCACAGATCAAATTTTAGATTAAATCTTCCATGCCAAACTTATAAACTATGTATAGAGCATTACAAAGACATACATATTCATAGATCATCATTTACCATCACCAAAAAGCTCACGTAGATTACAGTCTTGTTTGTGATAAATGCATACTAACATAATATCACTGGAGGTATTAGGCAACAATCTGGAAAACTGATCCAGAGAGAGAACAAAGTGAACCTTAGAAGGTAAGGATGCTTTCTTTTCTTATGTATTGAGGTGACTAAACTTACTAATTATAAAAGCACCATACTTAGGGAATCCTCCTTGTTATAAAAAATTGAATTACCTATGTACAAGGATGCAGACACTACAAGAGTTGAAGCTTACCTTTGTTTTTCAAAAGTCTTTCCTCCTCTCCAGCACGTCTTCGGAGTACATTTAGCAAAGTTCCAAAATACAATGCAAAAACAGTGCATGTGATTGTGATGACGTTGTAAGGCATACTGAAATCTGGAGTTGTCAAGGGTACGAGCAAAACTTCTGTGTAAGAGAGAACAGGACTCTTTTCCTGCATTAAAGATCCAGATAGTTAGGTATGACAGAGGAATTTTATATGTACCAGAGTTGTGAGCAAAAAGAGTAGAGATTCAAATCACCTGTAATTTAGACAACATAGGTGACTTGCTTTGAAAGTTATCAGAAAATTGCAAACCAGCATGGAAGTCAGGAAAGCTTATTATTGCTGATGGAATGTCAAATCCTTGATTAGCATCTGGAGGGTATTCATCAATGTGCAAGAAGCCCTATACAGGAAAATAAAAGCAGGTCAAAAACCAACTTCATATGAAGAAGAAACCAATTTTGTATTCATCCGACCTAAAAGGGTCAACAGTGAACATATCACATAAGATAGCTACAATCAGCTTGTAATGTCATATATATATATACATACATATACATATATATAAGAAAAATCATTTCTGCAGCTGTTGTATGTAAAACAATTAATCTTGACCATTGATTCCCCACATTTAATGTTTTCACCCATCTTTGTATGGTTATGATTCCCCAAATTTAATTGCTGTACATACAGCAGCTGCAGAAATGACAACCCCATATATATATGTATATATATATAGGGATATGATCCTTTGACACCGATGTCAAACTTTGAAATTTGACATCAAATCTCAACCGTTGATTTCCACCAATCAATGATTATCATTTATTGGAATTAATAATTAATTAATAAGTTTGATTCCCAATAAATAATAACCGTTGATTGGCGGAAATCAACGATTGAGATTTGGTGTCAAATTTCAAAGTTTGATACCGGTGTCAAAGGATCCTGCTTCATATATATATATATATATATATATATATATATATATATAGGAGAGGGTTATATTTACAAACTTTTACAAACTACACTATGTTCTCCCGGGAGAATATTAAGTTACACTATGTTCTCCCAGGAGTACATAGTGTAATTTGCAAAAATTTGTAAAAAAAATTTATAAACGGATCCTTCTCCATATATATATATATATATATATATATATATAAAAGATTATCACATTTTATGCTGCAATGACATGTACCTATATTAATGTAATATAGGGCCACTAAGCCCGAGGTTAAACGGGATGGGCTAAAAAGATAAAGGGTTAAACCCATACTTTATCAGCCCGACCCATTTAAGGATTAAACAGCCAGCCTAATTTTTTTCATTTTTATTTTTTATTTTAACATAATAAGTTAATATTTGGGATAAAGGTGATGTTGATGTTGAACATAATAAGTTAATAACATCCAAATCATATCAAATCCATGATTCTAATTCTAAAAAAGTTATAGCAAATTCAAGCTTCTAATAGCAAAGCAAAATTCCAAGCTTCATCGCAAAGTTATCAAATTCCAGCTTCCGAAAAAATTAAACCGTATTTTAGTAGTGATATGAAATTAGTTTTATATAGTAGTTTTAAACTTCTTAATATTTTTTATTTTGTGCTTTTATGTTTTAACAAATACCATGGTACTGTTATGAATTTGATTTAAAAAATAAACTAATAATAATAAATGAGCCAACAGGCCAGCCTGCACGTTAAACAGGTTGGCCCGTTTAACTTCATGCTAAATGAACCTGGTTGAAAATATGAAGGTTTAAATGGGTTAGCATATTTTGACCCCACCCCACCCCACCTAATTATAGTGAGTGAACGGGACAGCCTGGCAGATTTGACTCGTTTTAACAAGCCACAAGTGATAGATGCATAAAGTAATGACATCAAAATTTTATTGATCAGATCCAATACCATAAAACGGGATCAAGCAATTTGGAGTGTTGAATTTTCAACCACTGAAGGCAAACACAATTATTTACAATCACAAAGTTAATAAACCAGAAAGAGAACTTCTATTAAAGGAAGACAATGTGAAACTTAAGGTTTTAGTGCAATGCAATGTTGTATGTTTAAATCAAAATATTCCAAGAATAACACCATCAACCAACTATGGAATTCAAATGACAACATCTGATTGAAGCTAGAACTATTTTACTGTAATAAAATAATAGAGGTATAAGACATGTTAGCAATGAATTACACAAGCTTTTTGAGAAATTGATAGGAACAAGCTCATAAACTTACGTATATCGTATATCATCTACCATTATCGAATGACACCATTATCCCTTCTTAAGTCAGAGGTATCTATCGTAGAACTTCTACTTAAAATTCCATCAAACTTATTATCAGCACCACCAAAATGTAGTTTAAAAGGAATCAGCAAGATAACTGCAATTAGTGGACTGCTAAGGTGTGCAACTTAAAAGTTCTGACAAGGCTGCAGATCTTACCAAAGCTCCTATGTCAGCATTTACAGGTTTTAGTTTTAGGAGTGAACTAATCTAGTAGAAAAGGGATGGGGAAAGGGGGTGCAGGGATGGGAAGGCAAGAAGGAATAGATACAAATTATAAAAAAATTAATAACGCCAAATCGGTACATTTAAGGACTTCAAGGATACAACTGAGATATGTGAATCTTCGTTGAATCAAAATATTAGTTTTCGTATCAAGACTGGTAGCAGAAAGCTCCAACTATGTGGTCACTAGTAATCAGTTTTCCCATGTTTTAACAGCTACTATTAGTTCTCTTCATAATTGTCTGAAGAGTACCATATCAACATCTGCTACATGACCAGTTCCAGAACAATAGTTTTCTTCATTTTAAACCTTGCACGAGCCTGATTTTGGTTTTCAGAAGGGAATTACAATTACAAACATTTGTCATTTCATTCACTAGCCTCAAGATGATCTATTCAATTTGTCCTTAACCAATCTTTTTGTTCCCATCACTAAGCATTCTACTAAAATCCAAACAACACTTAGATCAACTAATTTTAGTATGTAATGATTTTCTTATTAAGAATTTTGAGGATGTTTACTAACATTAATTTATATGGAGTTAAATGTCAATAAAAAAATGTGGCGTAAATATCTATAAGAAAAAGAAATATAAATGAAAATAAGTATTTGATCAAACCTTATCAAACTCTATATTTAATACGGCTGACTTAATCTCACAAGGAAATTTGAGGACCAGCTCCATCATCCCTGGTGATATTTTGTCTTCAGAAGGTGAAACACGCATTCTCTCAACAAAATCTGTGACTACTCGAGGCCTTTCATCAACTAGTAATTGTAAAGTATGATAATATACCTTAATATACCAAGGTACAATTTGGAGAACATTAACTTCCAACTTACACCTCTCTCCAACATTATTGGCAGCAACGAAGCCCTGAGTCAATTCTGTTGATTTCAAGGATATTGCAATAGCACCCCTTTCATTTCCACTTCCCATTAAAAATCTACTGGCATATAAAGGTGCATGTGGGCTGGACCAAACAACCGGATGCTTCCATGTTAGGCCTAAATCAAAATGTTCAGTGTCTTTGTACTCTTTGATTGGATATTCATACAGAATTGAGGAGCTCTTTTCCACTTCTTTATGCACCCTGTCAGGAGTAACAGATAATTCAAATCCAACGTTCCTACTAAAATCTTCAGCACCTGTGTCATTTGCAGCAAATATAGCAGTATTCTTCTGGAGTTTCTCAAGTAGAGTGACTAGATCTCTCTCAACATGAAGGTAAACATTACTCGACTTGGCAAGAACACATCTTCCATTGATTTTTCTTCCAAATATTGAACTAAGAGACCAGCTTGGTTGCATCTTTGTTTCACCGACATAATTCACACCAGCGCTCTGAATATTAGGCTGAAGTACTACAGTGAGTGTTTGTTCTAGAATAACTCCTGAATTTAACCCATCTGCAGCAGCATCGGATATTGTCAAGTGCAATCGCTGAGAGTGGTAAAAGCTTCTGTAAATAGATGGTCTATCCATTAAGGCGGAGAGTCCAGCTTTATCTCGGCAAGGAAGGAGTTTCAACCAGGGAGTAAGATTTTCAGTGCAGACAGCTTCACGTGGAAGTGTACCATATCTTAAACTGCCTAAAGCTGATTGAAATGCCCATTTAGGAGCAGAATAAGAGGTTGAAGACTCTAGGAAGTTGATTGAAGAACAAAAGAGACCAGACAATGAATGGGTTAAATTTTTCCAAGAAGCATCAACCTGATGTAAGGGGACATCAAAGACTGCCCACAATTCAACTCCAGGAGGCTTCGCATTGCGGCTTGATATTGGATCAAATCCACCCCATCTTTCATAGTTCCACCTACCTTGTGTGAAAGATAACTCCATAGCTTTAATATGAAATTTCTGGACCTGTACATCCAACACTAATCCACATGTTATTTAGTATATTCACGAAAATTTTTACAAGCAATCCGAAAATATCAATTAACATACTTGCTTCTACAATCCATAGGAAGAGCACAAAAATTTAGTATAGATTAAAGAGTAAGCACAACAAAACATGACTAAAACTATAGATTTAGTGAAATCCGGAAGGCTCATTAGTATTTGATGTCATGTTAAGGACTTGTTAAAAACAAATTAGCGGGAAAATGCTTTTATTGTTGATGTGAATATAAAAGATGTTATGCAGTATAATAATAAGTTCCTTTTCAACAAGTATTATACATAGGATAAAATGGTACAGAAGAAAATATTCCCCACAAAAAAAATCAATGGAATAGATAAAATTGAAACGCAGAGAATTTTAACCTTGCTTTTATATATGTAATTGTGTTAAGCACTAAATGTGGCAACCTCTACATCAGTCTTTGTTCTTCTGCAGAATGACAGAATTCTTGAATAACATTTCAGACCCAAGCTGATGCGGAACTGAACTTCAACAACCAGAAACTACGCACGAGAGAAGAGATAGGAACAAGAACTGCAATTCTGATGATTTTATTAAAAGGAGATGACAAGAATCCAAGATTACACACTGTACTAAAAACACCAAGGGGCACTCCCCTAATCTGAGACACTACTCAGCCAACAAACTCTATTCAGAAAAGTATGCTTAACAAAGGGACTAATCCTTTATATACAAGGAAGAACCTAACTAACTAAGGGACTCATCCTTTATATACAAGGAAAAACCTAACTAACTAACTAACAGGTTGACTCCTGTTCTCTCTGAGCTTTCTGGAATAGACCTCAAGTACTTTAGGTCCCAGCTCTATCTGTCGTATCAATATCTCTGTGGGGGGAAACAACCTTGTCCCCTAGGTTGAAGCTAGGGAATTGATGCTGAATGAAGGCAATTTCTTCCCAGGAAGCTTCCTCAGAAGCGCATCCCTGCCATTTTATAAGGACCTGATTCATTGTATGGCCCTGCTGCAGAATCGTTCTAGCTGCCAAAATCTGATCAGGATATAGAAGTGGGTCTGTTTCTTGAAGGTTCTCCGGAAGTTCTTCCTCCACTTGATGTGTACTGACAGCCCACTTTAAATGAGAAATGTGGAAGATTGGTTGGATCCTTGCTTGTGGAGGGAGCTGTAATTGGAATGCCATGGATCCAATCTGCTTCAAAACCAAGAACAGACCATAGTATCGACTATCTAGCTGAAACCTGAAAGTTTGGGATGCAGGTGGCCTTGAGAAGAAATCTGCTTGTGGGGTCAAATTTTAAGGTAAACCCAGTCTCCAACCTGAATAAAGGAAGGGGTTATGTGCAAATTAGCCTTCCTGGACATATGAGCTTGGGCCTTATCCAAGTGAAATTTCAGTTGGCATAGAGCTTCGTCTCTATTCATCAAATACTAGCACAGTCTCAATAAGTGTATCTCCTGGAAGGAACCTAGCCAGGGAAGGAGGGGGACTGCCATAAACCACCTCGAACAGAGTGCAATGAGCTTAAGAGTGGAAATTGGTGTTATACCAGCATTCTGCCCATGGACGATACTCCCCCAAAATCTTTGGTTGCTTTGAGCAGAAGCACCTCATGTAGGTCTTCAAGGTCTAGTTAAGAACTTGAGTTTGACCATCCGTTTGAGAATGATAATCCGTGCTAAATTTAAGAGAGGTACCTTGTAAACTTAAGGGGGGTATCTTGGATATGATGGGATCCTACTTCACTTCATCATCTACCAAAGTCACAACCTGCAAAAAGATTCTGGAAATGCCATGAAATTCCTTGTCACCTTCCCTCCTAGATAATGCATCAACCACTCTATTGCTACCCCAATCTTATACACAACAATTTAGAAAGCCAATTTTGTTGCTTTTGAGTGGTGAGTTGCTGATCCAAAAGAAACTTCAAACTCTTTTGATCAGTAAATACCATGAAACATCTCCCAAGAAGGTAAGGGCGCCAATGTTGGATTGCAAGAACCAAGGCCATTATTTCTTTCTCATACATTGACTTGGTAAGAGAGGCAGGGCCTAGCACTTTGCTGTAAAAGGCTATGGGATGTTTTTCTTGAGATTAGGGATGCTTCTTTGGAGGAAAAACCGCCCCAAGGCTTGAACTAGATGCATCACACTCAATAGTAAATGGTTTGTTAAAGTCAGGCAGACACAAAACCAGAGTTGTAGTTATTCTATATTCAGGGAATGAAATGCATCAATAGCGTCTTGTGAACAACTAAACATGCCTTTCTTCAAGAGATTGGTGAATGGTTTTGCCAACTTATAATAATCCCTCACAAACCGTCTATAATAACCCAAGAGACCCAAATAACTACAAAGATCCTTGATTGTCTAAGGAACTGACCATTGTAGAACACAATCAACCTTTCTAGGATCCATAGCTAACCCTTGTTAGGAATGATTTGCCCTAAATATTCAATGGTGGTTTGACCAATGCAACATTTATTCTTATTAGCATGAAACTGATTTTGGGATAAGGCGCGCAATATCTCAGCCAGATTCAATAAACGATCCTCCCAAATCTTGCTGTAAATTAATATATCATTGAATAAAACTAAAGTAAACTTCCGGAGAAATGGCTGGAGAATGGAATTCTATTGAAATGTGGTAAGGGCACTGGTGAGGCCAAAAGGCATCACCAAATACTCATAATGCCCCTGTTATGTTCTGAAGGCAATCTTGGGTATGTAATATTTAAACATCCTTATTTGGTTGTACCCAAAGTTGAGATCAATCTTGGAAAAATAAAATGCCTCGTGCAACTCATATAACCGCTCTTCAATGATAACAAGTAACAGATTTCGTTGATTACTTCGAGATGCTTATCTTACGTCTCCAATCTCATACTATTCTCGTTGATCTCCCTTTGTAATGATTCAATGGATTGCTCCAGTGCATCTACCCACGCCTCAATTGAATCCATTCTATTTGATCCAGCAGGTCAGACCAAACTTGATGCAGTACTAAACTTCAACAACCAAAAACTACACACCAGAGAAAAGAGATAGGAACAAGAATTGCAATTTTGATGATTTTATTAAAAGGAGATGGAGAATTAAAGATTACAAACTCTAATCCAAACACCAAGGGGCACTCCCCTAATTTGAGGCCAACAAACTCTATTCTCAAAAGTATGCTTAACAAAAGGGACTCTTATCCTTTATATACAAGAAAAAACCAAACTAACTAACTAACTGGTTGACTCCTGTTGTCTGTGGGCTTTTTATGGAATAGACCTTAAGTATTTTAGGCCCAACTCTATCTGTTGTATCACAAGCACTTTTACATTATAACATCTCAAATTTGTCCTCTGCGTTCCACCCCTACCCTAAAAGTTCCAATAGTGAATCTTTTACTTAGATGAACCACAAAGGCATGGATGACAGGAAATTATCATCTTAATGTACTAAGAAAGACACTATTATAGTAGGCAGCAAAATTAAAGTGCTGGATGTTATATTTTTTCCTTTTTGGGAACTAAAACATCAATCTTTAGTTTGAAGTCCACAGAATCATCATACCTATATTAGTAATGATTAAAACTCAATTCTATAAACTTTAATTTTTCTTATTTGAATAATTGGTGGATAGAGAATCATGTGCATTGAAAATAAAGTCAAATACTGAAACGGCAAATATTTTATTTTATCACCGAAACAACATACATGTGTCAAGTTGCAGCATCACATGGAGCACTATACTTGCTGCATGGAATAAATCTCTCTAATTTCCTCTCCTTGTTTTCTTCCCTTCCAGTAAGTATTTCATCTTCCATAAAAAGTAAAATAAAAAACAACAACAGCAATTGCATCAGCTATATATGCTTCCCAAACATAAGTCTAAGGATAACTTACATGAGAGCCAATGTCCTGTTGCGCAAGCAAGAAAACTATGCCAAAAAACACATACCTTCCATTAATCCATTCACATATCTAGCAAGTTTTATAAATTAAAATACAAAAATGATTGCATTACTATTACATTCTGCATACGTATCAGGTCTAGTCAAAGCCACATGATTATATTGCCCATCATAATGTATACGTGCAAGGCCTACTAAAATAAAACTAATTACTGATGGAACAGTACTGTTCATCTCTAAACTGATAATACTGTATTAAGATGGTAAATTCAGTTTGGAGTAATCTCTCTCTCTCTCTCCATGCTTTACCCACTTCCATCTTTTATTTGTAATCAAATCTTAAATGAATTACAGTTGATATGATCTAACAAGAAGACTGATATGTCTAGAAAAGCTGATATGTTATGTAGCTGGAAGCTGGTCACAACTAAACAGGGAAAGTGAGGTCAAGGGTACAGTTGATATGATCTAACAAGAAGACTGATATGTCTAGAAAAGCTGATATGTTATGTAGCTGGAAGCTGGTCACAACTAAACAGGGAAAGTGAGGTCAAGGGTGCTAAACAATTAACTCTCTTCCTCAAGGGATCATTCATATGCCAGAACTCATCAATTCATAAAGCATAGAAACCACATGTTATTGCTGAATAAGAATATAGACACAAAAATAGGTGGAAGCAGCACCTTAAACTCTGTAGCCACTTCCTTTTAGCTTATTTTAATAAAATAAGTAAAATTTATTACAAGGAAAGAAGGCATACAAAAGGTAAGGAGGATCCATGATGCAGCACAGATACATACAATTAAATGAAAACCATCAACAATTCTCATTTACCAAATTAAAAAATTTACACAAAACAATGAATAAGGTTTCCAATCTTCATATTAAAAAAAAAAAAAAGAATAATAAACTAAACTAAACTTAAAAAGAATCACAAGCAGCCTAAACTAGAGCAATAGTCACATCATCTAGGAAATTTTAAAAACCTCAATCAGTCAAATCCAAATCACAGTGTGAAATTTCAAGAAACAACTTAAAATGTTAGAAAATGAAAGAAAAACACACACCAGCTGAGAAATAGCTTTGGGGAAGAGATGGTGGTGACTTGCGAAGGAATCATCGGAGGCGAGAGGAGCTTCGCTTTGGAAGTGAAAGTGCGCAAGAACCTTGCGATCCGGCAAGGGCTTAAGAAGCAACTCCTCGGAGAACTCTTCTTCTCTAGAATCCGATCGTGTTGTTGTAGCCAAGAACAGAATCGGAAGCAAGAGCAAAAGAGAGAGAGGGAGAGTCGCTTTCGGAACAAGAGCCATTGCGCAGTAGTTTGACTTAGAGCGAGTCTGCTATACACACTATAGAGATTCCGCCATGAACGCGCTCGCACACTGTGCGAGCTTGAGGTCTGAGAAATGATCGAAGAGGGGTTTCTTCTTTCGGTAAACGAAAATCAATTATTGGGCTTCAATGGTGAAGGCCCAAGATTATTCGTTTTCGGCCCGGCCCTTTCATAGTTTATGCATAGTTGTTAATTATCCAGTTTTGTTTTGCGTTGACAAAAACAATTCTTTTTTCTCCCCTATTCCAAAATCCAAATCCCATCCTACCTATTTCGTACAAAACTTTTTCGCGTCATCATGGACTAAAACATTTTGAACGTATTTTGGACGCCCTTAGGACAAAATAAATCTTATTATGAATGTTATCCTTTAATGTTCGACGGAAAATTTAGACTGATTTCAAACAAATTTCAGTACTTTTTTTTAAACAAAAAAGTGTTATAGCTTTATTCTTTTAAAATTCATCAAAAATTTCATAAAAATTTCGGACGGATTATATTATTTATTGTTGAGACTACGAAAAGAGACTCTAAAAAAGATTGAGCCTATGCGCGTATCTGTGTGTATAATATGTGTAGATAAAGTCCTTGGATAGTCACTGCATGGTTCAAGGATCAATTATGAGATCATGATCGTAAGGACATGAATATGTGGTATGATTATCTTAAATGTGTTCGTGTTCTTGATTCAATCATCAATTATTATTGAGCCTATATTTTAAAAACAAAACATTGACATAGGCCTGTTTAAATCTATTAAACATTTAATAATTAAAATAATATTATTTTATTATTTAAAATTATTAAAATATTATTTTATTTATTTTATTATAAATAAATATATGATATAGACTGTTCTGTAGGTTTAAAGGCTTTGCATGTAAAAGAAAGTTTATGACATACTTTCTAAATAAGCTTTTTTTAAGTCTAAGCCTATTCTATTTAACTATATGTAATAGGCCGAGCTTAACATGATGTAGCATGATCAGAGGGTTGCATACTGTCTTGGATTCTCAAAATGTGTTTTAGCGCCCTCAAGTGCGCTGTAATGCACTCAAGTGAGTATTTTCATATTTTCCAAGTGCGCTTTAGCATGCTCTCCCGAACATGGAAATGTTCCCTTGAGGTAGCATACTACCTTTCTTGTACAGTAAACTCCTCAAAGTACCTAATAGATTAACTCATCAATTCCATGATACAAGAACATCAACATACTCATTTTCATGAAATTCCCCTTGTAATATACTTGAATAATCTCATACTTCAAATCAGCATATATTAAGAGATATTTCTATTCAAGTTTAATGTCTCAATATTATGACATTCCTTTTTACATGAATTTTATCAAAGTAAGGTATCCATAATTTTTAACATTTATCTTACATGGCTTCCATCAAAGTAAGGTATCTATATTGATATTTCATACATAAACTCCAATATAAAACATCATAATCTTATACGTGTACGTCATTGGAGCTTTAGGATTACATATGTCAGTATTACAGTCCTTTAATCCTATTACATAAACTATGTCTTAAACATTAATATACATGTTTCCAAAATGGCTACCAAAATATGATTGCTAAATGCAAAAAACATTAATGATATCTGCATGCTAAACATGCCTTGATCTAAGCTGGTTTCTTGCCATGTGAAGCTCCAACTCCGTCATTGGAGGTACTTGGAATATAATCCCCCACACAAGGTGAGATAAAAATTTCAGTAAACTAAGAGTCCTTGGAGGATCACTCCACCTTTAAGTTCACTTTATGTGCATAAGTAGTAAAATAAGCATAGTATATCATACATCATACAATCTCATATGGAACTTCTAAGAGAGATCTATTATGGGTTGTTTCTCTTACGTATTTACCCCAAGGAGTTCCTTATTACACTAGCTCCAAGGGAAGTCCATCCTAAGATGGTACTTTCATGAGAGATCCACTAAGGTTGTTTCTAATAGGTTTCAACCACAAGGAGGTCATTGTAAGAACCCGCATCGTTAAATTAGAAATTTAATTAATAAATTATGAGTTTAGAAAATAATTCTATAATTGAACTTAAATAATTATGAGGGAACTTGAATAATTGTAATAAGGTCTTAATAATGCTGAAAGTCGCTTTTCTGACGAAAAGTGCAGATACCGGTTCTGCTTTACGGTATAAGTGAGTACCGATGAAGTATTTCGAAAAATTATAATAAGTGTATGAATATTCCTAAAATAATATTTAGGACTGGTATGTCAAGTTTGGGGTCGAAATAATGAGAACTGACATCAGAACTGATATCGGCAGCGTAAAAGCGCGTACCGGCAAAGTGCTGCGAAAATTATAATAAAAATATGATAAATCCTAGAAAAATTGCTAGGTTCAGAATATGAAGTTTGAGATTAAAATGATTAGCGGAGACATTATGGCTAATACCGACAAGTTAAACTTTAGCGGACTATAAATAGGCTTAGCACAAAGCCCTAGGTCAGACTCTAACATTTCCTACGTATAGTTTTCTGTTCTTCATATCTGCCATGAGTTCCCTTGAGTAGTTCTTGCCACCTTTCCTTCAAAAACCCAACTTTCTTCATCATTTCTTCTTCTTTGAGTTGGCCAACCTTGTTACAACTTGAAAGTGGGTCACCTTGAGGAAGAAAGGCACTTGCTTGAGAGTGTGGTAGTTGCTAACTTGGGGGTTTGGGGATTGTCTCTGAGTGGGTGAGTGGTTGAGCTTCAAAAACCATCATTGTACCGGTTCTGATTGTGCTGTTTGTGGACCTTGGGTAGGTGTGGACTCTTGAGTTTAGATTGATAGCTTGCGAGGTAAGCTTTCGTGTCCTCAGTTTTGCCAATTGTTGGTTCCACCATACCTCATGGAGGGATGGTTTATATGCATGATGTGTTTTCATGGATTTAGATGATAATTAATGAAATGCTATTGAGCTGTTTAATTGAGTGCAGGTGCCATATGATATGTATATGGTGTACCACCTAGACGGTAAGTGTTGCATAAAATCGGCAAGTGCGCCGATCGTACCAAGTAATAAAATAGTGAGTAGAGATCGACTCCACGAGGATTGAGGCACCGAATTTATTTTAACTATTCATTTCTTATTGGATGAACAAAAGTTGGTTTTGAGAGTAATTGTGTTTGTGAAATTGTGAACTATTCAAGACTTGTGAACAATTTAGAGAATGATTTGAAAACTTAGAATAAAATGTTGAGATTTGAGAAAAATATTTAAAAAGCTATTGCAGTAAAAGACGCCAACACCTTTTCGATCCCCACCTTTTAATATTAATTAATGTTTACATTTAATTACCCAATTGATCAAACAATTCACCATCTTATTAATTAATTAATTAAGCCCTAATAATCCCTTAGTGATCTTAACTTTATTAACCCTATTGGAATCATAATCCCTTAGAAATCCTTTTTCAAGTTAATCCTTTAACCCAGTGAATTTTCCACGTTTGCAGTTCATGTAGCCTATCCCTAGTGCGTACATGAACTGTTATTTTACTCTTGTCAGGAACTAGAATCCCAATATTCCTATTGAAAACCCTAACCCTCGCGATCCTACTAGAATGATCAATTCTAGAAGAATTATAGATGAAGAACAGGATAAAATAAATGCAATTGAAATAATTAAATATAAATTTAACCAAACTACAAGGGGTTCACATCAAGGGTTATGACCCTTACCACAATAATAAAAACTAGCCAGACATATTCATGTCTGAAAATTCAAAATATTCAAAGGAATTCATAAAACAAAATAATAACCGGGAAATTGAGAGAAGAGGAAAGCTTCAATCTTCGCTCCAAATGCTCGCTTCGATCTCTGCCTCCGTGTTCTTCTCTGTGTAAAAGTTAAGTTTTCTCTTGAGGTATGAGTCTCTATTTATAGAGTCTTTGACCTTGTGTAGAATCTTGATCTAATCTTTGTCGCAATCTGAGTGTAATCTGTCTTTGATTTAAAAAGGATTTGATGTTGATTTGTCCGCACCTCCCACGCCACTAGCGTGGTTCCCACGCTGTGAGCGTGGGAGTTTTTCTTCAGAACCTTGGAGCACCACGCAACTAGTGTGGTTGCCAAGCTGCAAGCGTGGACTGATTGAGAGTCTGGCGCTACTAGTGTCAATGCCACGCTAGTAACGTGGATGCCTCTGCCTGATTTTGATCTCTGGCGCTACTACCGTGAGTCCCACGCTAGTAGCGTGAATGCCTCTGTGTGAAAAAGGTCTTCTCGCGCTTACAACGCCATACCCACGCTCTCAGTGTGGGTCTTCAGTTTAGCCTTTTCCTTTTTAGCCCAGTTTGTTTGTTTTTCCTACGAAATCAGCACAAAATCAGTTGTGCAATCTCTGATTGAGATTTTAATAGATCAACAATAATTATTGCCCTTTTTTGCTTAAGATTAATCAACATTCTTTATCTTTTTGGCTTAGATTTTCCTATATGCTGAATGCATATCAGTAAGCCTGAGTATGTGGAGACATACAAGATGGTGAATCTGTGGGTGAGGTACAAGCGGTGTTCCTTGTACTGTAGGTTGTAGACGTACGTAATCCCTATATTTTATTTTCTCTGGCCAGTAGGATGCATACACACGACATGGATATATGCTGCATTGCACGAATTTTGGAAATGATATTATTATTGTTTTGGAACTTATATTGCACATGTAAGTGAGCTTGGGGTGGAGAGATCCTTGAGGAACCCTTGTCTTACTGAGATTTCTTTTTAGAGCTCTCACCCCGTGTTATGGCACATATTCAGGTACAAGTACCTCGGGGGTTGATACCTCTAGCAGCAGGAGGCCGGAGTTGAGTTGATATGCATGTTGTCTTACTGATATGCTTGGATGTTGGCCATGTTTTATTTTCAGTATATGATTAGTTGATTCGAGACTTTTTTTTTTTGAAAGATATGGAATTAACTTAAAAACGGTTACAAAGTCTTGGGCTAGTAGTGCCCATACAATCCCTATTTAAGAAAATGCAACAGTCAGTGGCAGGTTCATGTAAGACATGCATATCCCAGTCGCTCCAATTGCTTCCATGGGAGGCCAGCCAGTCTGCCACCTTGTTCCCTTCTCTTAACGTTTGACTCAACTTGGTGGTCCAATTCCTCTGTAAATAGTAATTTATATGCCAAACCAAGGGGGCTGATGGGTGGCATGAGTCACAACCCTCCATAATCAGGTTGATGGCCATTAAAGAGTCCCCTTCGATCCGGATGCTTCTACAGCCCACGTCCCATGCTAAGTGGATGCCACATAGGAGGCCCCAAAGTTCAGCTCTCAATGAAGATCCTTTTCCCAAATTCCTGCTGAAGCCAGTGATCCATTTTCCAGAGTCATCTCTGATGACTCCACCGTAGCTGGATTGTTCGCCTCCCCTCGTGTTTGATCCATCAATATTCAGTTTCATCCAGCCATCGGGTGGGAAGGTCCAGCATATAAATTTTTCCACTTTCTCACGTCTGCATGTCCGTAAGAATCCCATCTTAGTGTGTGCCTCGTTTAGGTTGGTAGTGTAGATCTTGACACTCCTAATCAAGGCCGATTGGTTCTGGTTGAATACAAGTTCATTTCTGGCTTTCCATATAGACCAAATAGCAATTCCAAAAATTTGACTCCAATTCCAATGAGATTCAAAAACCTTCTTGATCTTCAGGTTGGACTGCACCCAATCTGTGGTGTTAGATTCAAAGAAGTTGGGAATATGAAAGTTTTGGAGGAGGTAGAGCCAAACTTCTTTACTCCAATAGCAGTCCCTTAGAGTATGAATCACATCTTCAGGCTCACGATTGCATCTGGGGCAGAGGGCACAAGTAGTGAGATTTCAGCATAGGGGTTGTCCATGCCACGTTGACTATGTTATGGTTATTCAAACTTGAGTTGTATAATGTATCAGGATATTGTCTGGTTTACATGTTGTAGTTCCGTGACTAGATACACATTTATATCATGAGGTTATTCATTTAGTTCTTTATTGCAATTTACATACAGACAATATTTTGAAAAAGAAATAAGTAATCAACTTGGTTAATAATAATGACGTCATAATTGAAAAGAAAAAGTTAGCTTCTGAATTAATTTAGTTGCGCTACTACTATATGTATGTTTAATACGCCGGGTGCACACGGAGTGTTACAGTTATCATAGGACTGGCTCCAGGAAAAGTCCATATATACATTCTACTTTCAAGAGAGATCCTCAAAGGTTGTTTCTCTTAGGAATTAGCCACAAGGAGTTCCTCATAGGGCTGACTCCAGGGAAAGTAAATGTATACAAAAATACTCTACAGAGAAGTATCTCAAACATACATTCACATCATTCATCATTTCTCAAACAATGCTTCATACTATGTTCTAATATTATAACGCACATTCATTCACATCAATCATTACTCCAATGGAGTATGATGTAACAACAAAAAGAACTAATCCCAAGGTCCATAAGTTTACCTCGTGTAGACTCCCTTTTTTAACCCTTGCTTTATGTTCAAGAAACTAAATCCCAATCTTCACTAACACCACACTATAAAAGGTGTGAATACAATCAACATCATACATAAAACATCAAGCTAATAACTAGAACTTCCTCTACAAGGCTTTTAGCTTGAAACTAATAGGTGATCTTTACTCCTTATGAAAAACTAAACAACTTTCACGAAGGAACTTTATCATTTCCATGATCAAAACTCAAATGGGTATTTCAAGCTTATGAAAATGGTGAAGTCGGCTAAGCAAGAAGAAAGAGTCACGATGGAGATGTAATTTGTGATGAAATGAAAGAGATTAAGTGACTTAATGATACTTTGGCTTTAGTCAAAATATCTACTTGGCAATTGACTCATTTGCCTTTCTTTCATAATTCTTGTCTAAACAATGATTTAGAACATCTAGCACATGTTTTCAACTAATAAACATCATGAAATAGTTTTCTCACTAAATCATTTCTAAGTTTCAAGTAACTTTTGCTTAATTATATTTTTACCTAAAACTTTTATTATTTGCACTTTTGTCCCGAAAAGTGTCTTTACTTAGAAAAATTAGATTCTTCATCTAATCAATCCCTTTTAACTATTATGTGATTGTCAATTACTCAACTTAATTGTTTGGATTATTATACATTCTATATTTCTCCAAAGCTTATCCATGTTGTTGTCACTTTAATATGCCATTGATATTATTTTTTGGTTCTATCATTTATCTTCATTTTTCATCAAGGGTTGATGTTTTTTTGCTTTTGATCTAGAACTCTTTTCTTTTTGTTGTTGTCTCTTTATTATCAGCATAGTGTATCTTCTATTTACAAATAAAGCATTAATTATTATATTATTATATATTTTCTTCCTTTTTAATTTCCTGGAAATTGGGCTAGGCTCGTTAATAAGTACAGAACAATTAACATCTCTATCAATTGTGTGTTCGTTGTTTTTAGGATTTCATACAGACAAATTGGGTTCTGCAATAATAAAACCTAAAATGACTAAACTAAATTTTCTCAATATTTATTAACAAAAATTAATAAATTGGAAAAGTAATTAAGTTTTGCCTTTGCTTTTCGTCCAGAAAATTTGTTCAACTCAATTTTAAACGATCCAAGCATGACCAAAAGTTTAAAATTTGTAAACAAATTAACTTGGTTGTGATTCCTCATTTCAAATTTCGGCAAATTAACAACACTTTAGCACTATGTAAATTTATCGAGTAACTTATTTTAGTCCCAGATACCTCTATCAAGAACCGCTCTTATATGTGGCACTAGCCTTATGTGGTTGATGTTTACAAGCTAGGAGGTATTTCATTCTAATTCTCTAGAGGCACTCTAAGGGAGGAGTAGGATACCTATGCTTATCTGTACAATAGTCATAAGTTATATACTTTTGCTTTACATTTTCATATTCTTTTTGTTGAGCAGGATCTAATTGCCAATACTTGTGGCTGTTCCACCAGTAGTTATCAGAAACACAATGTTGGTGATCATTTAGGCTTTGAACTTGACAGCCACTAACATCAAATCCTTGAAAGTTTGCTTTGAATGGTGCATAACTCCAATTGATTTTGGCTTGGCCTCCATCTGTTGCCCAGCTATCCCCATCCCACAAACTTGCTTTTATTTGCATAGTCTTTGATGGGTAGCCCACTCCAACGTTGCTTTTATTCTTGTATACCCTAATGGGGAGTCTGTCCACATAAAACCTGTCAATCCAAATATTTGATTAGATACTGAAATTATAAATGATTATATGAAATTAGATTAATGTATGTTACAAACAAACCTCTCAATTATGCCAGGGTAAGGTCGTGTACAAGGATTACCTCCACCCCGTACTCAGTAATCGAATTTAATGAGGCGTAATTTTTTTTTTTTACATAATCAACTAAGCTCACTAAAGAGTGTTGGTTAACTCAGCTGACCAGGTCGGCAACGACAGTAGCAGAGGAGGTGAGGTTTGTTTGGCAAATTTGAATTTTGAAAAAAAATATTTAATATTTAATTTCTGTTTTTTTTAAGTATGATTTTAATTTTTTTTACTTCTGTTTGTTTGTTTTTTTTTTTATAAAAAAAAACAACTTTTAATGAAAAAAAAAACCATCCAAACGACGTCAAAGTCATTTGTATTTGATAGTAAGAGTTGGGATTAAATCCCATTTCATGGATCAACTAGATACATTGAGAATAGTCAATAAAAGTCCAACGACTCTTATGGTTATTTTTCACTTATGATATGACCTTTTTAGCTTCGTAAGTTATAGTCAGCCATTTAATGAATTGATTAAATATATATGGAGTCCATAAAAAAACACGTTAAATTTATGTTTGATCGAAAAATCATTTGTATAATATAAAACAGCTTAATTATAATAACTTAGGTGAAGTTGATGTTAACTTTTTTATTTTCAAAATTTTTTGAAGTGGTTATTTTTGAGTACTTAATTGTATAATTAAGTACATGTTTTAACCACTGGTACTTCAAAATGAACCATATCAAAAGTGACAGGGCTTGTATCTTACACAATTTGATGTGGGTTCCAAAGAATTCTGTAGTCGTGAAAATTTGCTGTGGGGTCAAACCAAAGGTGAAGTCTTTGCTCCCTATTCCCTTCACCATTTACATATACATTGGTCTGTAATGTGTATGGCTTCCCCTCTCTATTGCCTAAGAATTCAAAGTCTAACTCGTCGTGCCCATTTCCTTGTGAAGTCAACTGCATTCAAATACAAAAATAATGAATCAATAATATTTTGTAAATAACACTTGCATATTAGATTTGAAGGGTGAATAATGCTTTAGGTTCAAACTCGTACTAAAATTTTTCACAATATTTAATTATTAATAAAATGAGGCAATAGAATTGAACTCATGATCCCGTGGTCGAGATTTTAATGATATGTAAAAAATTAATTTAATCAAAAAAAATTAAACTATTAAATGAAAGCCTTTTTAATAGTTTTTATATTTCTCTAATAGTATCTTTAATTTAGATTAGCCATCAATTAAGGACAATTTCTCCTTATGGCATATGATGAATTTAATCTTGAATATCAAAATAAGGTGATAAAACTCACATAATAAGCCGTGACAACTCCTGCAGAATCCCTACCAGGTACTTTGATCCTCAGATGGAAGAATCCAGAACCGTAACTCATCTTGGATCCAAAGCCAGATCCTTTATGTTCAAATAAAATAGAAATTGAGTCATCATAAAGAACCAATATCTTTCTAATTAGCTGCCCCAATATTTTGGTATCTTATAAGTATATCCAAATATATTTTTTTAATAAGAATATACAATTACTTTAAACTTCTTTAGATCAATGGTATGATTATTGAAAAATGAATAATTACTATAATTTGGTAAATAACAACAAAAATTACAAAGATATAGCTACAGAGTTTATGAAATCATCATCATTTCTTGTTTCGACAAATTAAGAAAGCAAGGTCCATTATCAACCGTTGAATTATTTATCTAATTAATGGAAATACTACCAACGCACACAACCAATGAATTTTACATTAATCAGTGGATCTTTGGTAAGATATTGACATCTTAACAACTTCAACTGTTTCTCGGACGTGTAAATCAAATTGTAGTTTCAATGACGAAGTCCACTTTCAATGTTCTGAACATCTAGTGGAAGGTCACCACACAAAATCATGTCCTAGTATGACATAAAACCTATAAGAAAAATCAACAATAATCTCAAGGAAAGTAGCTGTACATACGAAACATAAATATGTGTTTTCCTTTTAATATGGACTCATATTGGGTCCTAACTCCAAGACGCAAACTCTTCAATTAGTTCAATAATATCAATTAAATTTTGGGAAATATTAATCTTATGCAACATAAGATAACATCTTTTTTCTACACACTCATTGATTTTCGTGTAGTTTAATTTTAAATTTTTTATTTTTTATAAGTGAGTGGGCTCCACCCATGATTGTGTCTACAATAGGAGATAAATACCCTCCTACAACATGAGATTAGAAAACCCCTTAAATTTTAGCTGTTATTGGTTCTTTACAAGGTGTCACACATTTTCCACCATATATGTAATCAAATTGTCTTCACGCACGTAACTTCTCTTGGATAGTTGATGGGAACGAAAAAGAACAAAAACATTAAAAAAATTCATGTTTTTCTCATAACCTAAAAATAGCAGTTTCTAAAAATAAAATAAAAAATCATAAAAGCACCTTTTTGTAAAGTAGAAGAAATATGGCGATTACATCAATCTTTAGATAACCTATTGTGGTATAATACCACAATACTGGTATATTTATATGGAGAAGGTTATATTTATAAACTTTTTGTTTACAAACTATACTAAATATAACTGGTCATACTTCAATCAAGAGTGTATGACCGGTCATACTTAGTGTAATTTGTAAAAAAAAGTTTGTAAACGGATCCTTATCCTATTTCTATTATTTACTTCTTCAATTGAATACACTTTATATAGTAATTTTGAATAAATTTTTATTTTGTAATTGAAACTATATAGGCGTGTGCGCAATGCATGCACATAACCAAAAATAAATAAACTGTTGGAACGGGGAAAAGAAAACCAAAGATGCATGAGTAAAAGTAAATAAGAAGATAAAACGAAAGGTGATGCATGCAACTTAATGGAAAGGGAATGATAACCTGAAGAGCTATCCATCATGAGCTGAATTTCTTTCCCTTGGTTTAAGGACACAACATGATTGCCACCATATATGACCTTGTAATTTTGATCAAAGCTTATTTCTTCCCTTCTGCTTCCTCTGGCAAGCACACCATGGACAAGGAGAAAGAGAAGAAAAGCGAATTTCAGAGAACTCATATCAAAGCAAATCTTAGCTAGGGATTGGACTTTACACTCTTATAGTTTTGGCTATTGTTGGCCTAGTTTTTCATCTATATATACATGATGACCAAGTAAACTTGAGCTTCATAAGACCATGGAAAAGCATAAAGCGCATGAGTCCCATAATTACCTTACCTATACGCGTACGCTATTGACTTCACAATTCTATCCTCCATAACAAACCACATCATGATAGCTAAGTTTGGAAGCAACGTTAATAGCAAGTACTTCCATATTCATTAATTTTCTGTCAAATTCTTGATTAAAAGGAAAGTGAACAAATCTTCCAAACATTGTACGACAGCATACTAATGCAATGATATATAAGTGTCAAGCTTTCTTGTTATTGATGATATGTTTAGGGAAAATAATTTTGGTATAATGTAGGAAAATAGTTATATCATGTAGTAGAAACAAAATTACAAGTGGAATCCACAGATAAGAGGAGAGAAAAAAATAGAGGTGGAATTCACCCCTCATTTGTGTGTGCTGAAAATTTATTAATTTATTTTATGCAATATAACTCTATATTTATATACTTACATTTATAATTATAGGAATATAGTTTCTCATGTTGTACGAGGCAAAAATTGTCTCATGCACATACACAAAAATAGATGGGACCTACTTGTTTTCTCTCTCTCTTTTTCTTTGTGGGTCTTATCCATATTTTTGTGTGTGCATGAGATAATTTTGTCTCATACAACATGAAAAATTATATTCTCATTATAAATGATAACCGTTGATTGGCAGAAATCAACGGATAAGATTTGGTGTCAAATTTCAAAATTTGACACCGATGTCAAATTTCAAAATTTGACACCGATGTCAAAGGATCTTATCCTATTATATAATATATGTATTTTTTGGTTATGGGCATTCAATTAACAAACTTAAAAATAATATATTTAGTTTTAAGAAAAATTTAATGGAATGTATTCAACTCCAAACTAGGTAACCAAAACGTGGAAGCTTAATATAAAGCAATTGGTTCGTTATAATCTTTCGAATATGTCATGCCTCGTTTGACCCACAAAAATTCCAGCTGTTTCATTTTTGTCCAATCAATAATGTTATCCGATTTGAACGAAGTTTACCACTTTTTTGTTTTTTTTGTTACTGAGCTGGTTTTTTATTTTTACTTTTCGATTTTGAATAATAACTTTTATTTTTATTTCATATTTTGTATAAGAATAAGATGTTTTAGTCTCCATTCATATTTAGTAAAATTCATATAATTAATGAAAGGTGTTTTGTTATTTTTTATTATTATATAAATTTTATCAAAACATCATTTATTAATTTCCCGAACACCCAAGATGATGTAATTGTAGGGTGATGTTGTTGTCACCAAGGAAAACATATTTCATATTTGAAGGTAACTCCTTAAGCTCCACCTTTCAGGCACCAAGAGAGATGGGTAAAAAAATTAATTTAATATTTTTTAACAAAATAATTACGCATTTATTACAGTTTTGGAAATAATTACGGATCTATTGCACAATGTGACGCCCCTTTTGAGCGTCACATGTGACACCCCATTGAGGCGTCTCACCCTAAGAGGAGACGCCCCAATGGGGCGTCACTCATCAGGTGTTGACACGTGTCATTTTTTTTTCCAAAAAAAAATTAATTTAATCAAAAAACTTTTGAAGGCCATAACTTTTGACTCGGGTATTCAAATCAGGCAATTCTTTTTTTTGATTCCACATAACTCTACGAGATCTACGCAATGACATCTCATTTGATATATTTTATTTCTCATAAACATAATTTTAATTTGCAAGAATGGTATTATAAGAGCGGTTAAACCCAGAAGCCTTTGAGTTCTGGGTTTGTGATTTAATAAAAAAAAAAAATTTGATTTGTGATTTAAATTTTTTTTGTAATTTTTTTTATTATAGAAAAATTTTGGTTTGTGATTTAAATCAAAAATAAAAATAAAAATTATTATTAATAAGGAAAACAAAATAAATATTTGATTTGTGATTTAAACTAAAAAAATCAATTTGAAAAATATGTAGAAATAAAGAAAATAATTAAATAAATATTCTAAATCTCTAAGGAAGAAGGATATTATTTTTGAAATTAATGAGAAATTAATGATTAATGCTATAAGCTTCTGGGCTATTATTCGTGGTCTGAAATTAATGATGGCTTATGAATGTTATTCAAAAATAAAATTACCTAAATTAGGCATGATTGCCTCTTGATTGAAATCTAATTTAGACGTGATTAGTGACGTGTCAGGTGTTGAAACGTGTCACAATTTTAAACAGAAGCCTCTGAGTTCTGCGTTTGTGATTTAATATAAAAAATAAATCAAGATTTGATGTGTGATTTAAATTAATTTTTATTTTTATTTTTATTATAAAAAAATTTGGTTTGTGATTTAAATTAAAAGTAACAATTATTATTAATAAGGAAAACAAAATAAAGATTTGATTTGTGATTTAAACTAAAAAATCAATTTGAAAAATCTGTAGAAATAAAGAAAATAATTAAATAAATATTCTAAATCTCTAAGGAAGAAGGATATTATTTTTGAAATTAATGAGAAATTAATGATTAATGCTATAAGCTTTTGGGCTATTATTCGTGGTCTGAAATTAATGATGGCTTATGAATGTTTTTCAAAAATAAAATTACCTAAATTAGGCATGATTGCCTCTTGATTGAAACCTAATTTAGACGTGATTGGTGACGTGTCAGGTGTTGAAACGTGTCACAATTTTAAACAGAAGCCTCTGAGTTCTGCGTTTGTGATTTAATATAAAAAATAAATCAAGATTTGATGTGTGATTTAAATTAATTTTTATTTTTATTTTTATTATAAAAAGATTTGGTTTGTGATTTAAATTAAAAGTAACAATTATTATTAATAAGGAAAACAAAATAAAGATTTGATTTGTGATTTAAACTCAAAAATCAATTTGAAAAATCTGTATTAATAAAGGAAATAATTAAATAAATATTCTAAATCTCTAAGGAAGAAGGATTACCTGATTTAAATTTAAATTATGTTTGTGAAAAATACAATATATCAAGTGAGATGTCATTGCGTATATCTCTAAAAGTTATGTGGAATCAAAAAAAGAATTACCTGATTTGGATACCCGAGTCAAAAGTTATGGCCTTCAAAAGTTTTATGATTAAATTCATTTTTTTTTTTGGAAAAAAAATGACACGAACATCTGATGAGTGACGCCCCATTGGGGCGTCTCCCCTTAGGGTGAGACGCCTCAATGGGGCGTCACATTGTGCAATAAATCTGTAATTATTCCCAAAACTGTAATAAATGCGTAATTATTTTATTAAAAAGCATTAAATTAATTATTTTCCAAGAGAGATGTCATCTACCTTTTTCTCTAACTCTTCCACCGCTGGTTCTTCTTCTTTGTCAACAAATTTTGCACTTGCATCTTCATTGAATTGCTCTAATTCAAGTGGAGAATTCTCCTCTTTTATGGTGTCATCAACTACATCTTGAATTATATCAACCATGAAGTAATCTCCTCCATCTAATGGATGCTTCATTAACTCGAAGACATCAATGGTGATTGTCTCCTCATTCATTCTCAACATAAGCTTTTCTTACTCTACATCTTGCTCTACATTGATCATTGCTCTTGCAGTAGCTATGAAAGGTCTCCCAAGAAGTAGAGGAATTTCTACATCTTCTTCCATATTCAGAATCACAAAATCTACAGGGAAGATAAACTTGTCGATCTTGACCAACACATCTTCTATCATACTATGTCTGGCCTTCTGATCAATCTGTCGGCCAACTGTAAAGAGACAGTAATTGGTTTTAACTCATGAATTCCCAAAGTTTTACACATAGAGAGAGGCATCAGATTTATGCTAGCTCCAGGATCACACAGTGCCTTACCCACTTCAGTGTTCCCAATAGCTATAGGATGCTAAAGCTGCCAGGATCTTTGAGCTTAGGAGGAAAGCTTTTTCTGAATTATTGCATTGCACTCCTCAGTTAAAGCAACTGTTTCGCACTCCTTCAACTTGCGCTTTATAGACAGTAAATCCTTCATGAACTTCACATAGTTGGGCATATTTTCTAGAGCTTCAGCAAATAGGATATTAATTTGTAATTTCTTGAAGATGTTAAGAAACTTTGCATACTGCTACTTCTGGATCTCTTGTTTCAGCCTCTAAGGATACAAGATATGAGCATAAGGATAGAGATCTAAAGGCTTTTCTTTCCTTTCAAGAGCTTTCTTCTTCTCCCACTTAAATTGTTTCTTTTCTAGAATGCTCCTCTCAGCTTCAACTGTAATCTTTTCTTCCTTTGTCTTCTCTTCTTCAATTATAGACTCCCCATATTTCTTCCTTTCTCCAGAAAGCTTCTCTACAGGCTGAATAATAATTTCGCTTCTAGTTGTAATAGCCTTGTAGTGCTCTCTAGGGTTTGTGATAGTGTCACTTGGGAAAGTACCATGAGCTCTCTCAACAATCTTCCTTGACAACTAGCCAATTTGTGTCTCTAGATTCTGAATGGAAGCTTCTTGATTTCGGATAGATGCTTCTTGATTTCAGAATGAAGTCCTTGTCTCTTGCATAAAGGTAGAAGTGTCCTCTCTGAAAGCATTTGCACCTTGAATATAATCTGAAGTGATCTTGGACAGCTGTGCAAAAGATTTCTCCAGGTCATACGAGTTGCTTTGTTGTGGAGGAGGTGGTTGTATTGGAAGAGGAGGATTGAGCTGATGGTTGGATTTGTAACTCAACCCTGGATGTTGATTCTGATTCTTCCACCCTTGATTGTAGTTATTCCAATACTAGTTCCTCCCTAGAATATTCTGGTTCTTTTGATCGTACCAGATTCTATTTACATCCACAGTTTTTGGTATTCTCTTAAAATCACAATCCTCTGTAGCATGAGCAGTAGAACAAATTCCACAAATGACCAAAGGAGTATCTACTGAAGCAATTTGCTGAGAAGAAAATTTATTTGTAAGGGCATCCAGTCGTTATTGTTTCTTCTTATGCATCTGCATCATCTGCTCATTCTGTGCCGACAATGCATCATACCATTCCAGCTTCTTAATTCCAACTCTTCTTTGTTGTACTGGAGCATTATCAAACTCTTGAGAAGCTAGAGATTCAAGTAACTCTAATGCTTCCTCAGGAGTTTTAGTCTTCAAAGAACCCCCCGTTGCAGCATTGACTAGAGTTCTGGTGTTAGGTGTCATTCCTTTGAAGAAAATTCTGCCTTTGTCCCAAGCTTCAAACCCATGCTGTGGACACTTCCTGAGTAGTCCCTTGAATCTTTCCCATGCTTCATAAAGAGATTATGTCTCTTTCTGTTCAAAAGCAGAGATATTAGCCTTAAGCTTGGCTCGTTTTGAAGATGAAAAGAACCGGGCTAAAAATCTGGCTGCAAGATCATCCCAGTTGGTGATGCTTCCTTGAGGTAGTGATTGCAGCCAACCTCTGGCATCATCTTTCAGAGAGCAAGAGAAGAGTCGGAGCAAGATCGCATCAGGAGTCACTCCATTCATCTTAAGTGTATCACAATAGATAAAAAAAATCTCCAGATGTAGATATGGGTCTTCTATGCTTCCTTCGAAAAGTTGATCCTTTTGAACTAACTGCACTAAAGCTGGCTTGAGCTTGAAGTTGTTAGCATTCACATTTGGCCTAACAACTCTAGCAGTTCAAGGAACTCAAGTTGGAGTCATAAAATCCCCCCAATGTCCTCGGAGGAGGTTGAATTTGATTATTATCTGTATGACTTCCTTCTTTGGTTTCGTCGAGCTTGAAGCTTATTTTCCTTTTATCTTTTGTGCTTTTTATGATCATCGTAGCTGTCTTCTCTATCTCCGGATTAAACTGCAAGGATCTTGGATTAACAGTACCTCGCATAAACCAATATAGTAGAGAAATTATTCAGAATTTTGCAGAAAAATTATGCAGAAAAATATAAAAATCAAAGAAAATTCAAATTGCAGAATAATGAAGAACTCAATCTAAATTGTTTATAACTACTTCTAATGATGAAGGATCCAATCCCCAACACCAAAAACTTGTTGCGACTTCTGGAAGTGCACTGGTCATAAAAGTAATAAAAGTATATTTTGAGTACGAGATCGTTCCGACGAGGATTGATGTTCAAACACTAGTTCACTACTTGCAATTTAGTTGAGTAATTGATTACGAGAAACTCAGAATCAAAATTAAAGACAACCAAGAACATAAAATTGCAAAAGTAAAAACAAGAATTGAAAAGAAGTTGGTTTTAACAATTAAGATAAGCATAGTTAAGGGTTCGATTTTCCCCAATCTCTTTTACATGTTATGAATTAAAAGTCAATAACTCATCCTTAAAATATTGCCAATCAATCCTTTCTACATTTATTAAGGCTCAATCCATTGTTACCCTAATTCTATGCAATCTTGAAAGAATTCTAGCTCCCCGGTTGTTCCTCAAGAAAACATGCATTAAGATCAAGAATCTAAAGATTGCACAATACCCTATGTCTATTCCAAGATCACAAGGATTATGATGAATTTGTTAAATCGGGGTTCATGCACCAGCATTCCTATTGTCATATAATTCCCCTAAATCAATCTATAAGGAGCGAACTCATAAAAAACATTAAATACAAACAAATTCATTCAATTATAGAAAGGAAGAAATTCAGAAAAAATTTAATTTATAATCATATAAAATCAATTGGGCTCTATCTGCCCCTAACTACAAAAGAATCTAGCCTAGAATAGTGATTTTAAAAAACACATGAAAACAATAAAAAAAATCCCCAAAACTCCATTGATAAGGTGGCTTATAAATCTTCGGAGTTCCCAGCGCATTCGTGAATTCCACTCGCTCCCAATACTCCAAAGCATGAAAGACATGCTCCTCTATTGCCCAATTAGGATTCTCTAATCAGAATTATCAAAAGCTTCTAATTTGTGTTGAAATCCCTTATTTATAGGTAATTAACCCGTGCCCTAATTAATTACAAATTTTAAGCCTGGGTTGGACCGTGTCAACGCGCTTGAGTGCACTAGAATACTAAAATTCACCGCCTTAGCGCTTCAACGCGCTCTTCAAAGGGAAAATTGCACTTGATAGCACGCTTTAGAGCGTTTAAGTACTCTCCTTCAGTGGAATTTGACTAATTTGAATCATTAGGCGCTGTAGAACGCTTAAGTGCGCTCCATCGGTCTTCAAATTGCTTGTAACTTGCTTTAGTTGAACTTCTTTTGATCTTCAACTATCTCATTCAAGTCCTTTACTTCATTTAAACATTATTTCATGTTTATTCACCTTCAAAACAAACAAAATCACATCATGTTAACTGAGATTCCAACTTTCATGCTTTTTCACTATAAAACCTAAGTTTTCATGCAATTAACTATGTATTCCATGCATTAATTAGCCCTAAAATATGGTAAACCAAAAGTTTATCAAGTGAATGGATAAAACCTTAGGTCTTATGACAGAACAAACAATAAACCCTATATATATGGGCCTATTATTTCTCAAGCTGCTTAAGATAACTTTATCTCCGGTTACTAAATTATAACCGTACAAAGATAGACCAATGGTGATAAAGAAAGAAAGAGAAAAATGGAATCATAACCATTCGAAGGTGAATAAATTAATATATAGAAATAAATAAACAAAACGACGTAGTTTTGGGGTGGACGGAGATAAATATATCTCAAGCTACTTAAGAAATATTTCTATATATATATATATGTATGTATGTATGAGCCTATGCCCTAGAACATATCCACAAAACCATAGCCCAACATCTGACCTAATTCATAGTACCCAATCAAACAAGGCACAAACCGAAGAGGAAGGGCATAATATCTAGAATTTTGCAGCTGTAGGAGATGCAAAAACAAAGAAAGATGAGACCAAGCTTCCAGAAGAACTTGAGGAAAAAACAAACATAGTAGAAGGGATATTAAGAAGAACTAGGAGAAGGAATATCTATTGTACGTAGAAAAGGTAGCAAATAGCTATTATTTTGGTTATAGCTTGAGATGTAATAATTGGTTGTTGTAATCTGCTAGTGGTTCGTTACTTTTGGGCTAGATATAGAAGGGGACATAGGACCTTATGGTGTTGTTGGAAATATTGAATAAAAAATTCTCAATTTTCTCGTCTCTTCGTCTTTCTATTCTTTCTCATCTCTTCTATATTGTTCCACGATAAAACTTGGGTTCTATCAACTGATGCTTTCATTGTTGAACAAATGGCACCAGAAAATTATTCCTGATCGGTTGATGAACATTTAGAGCAAACCCAACCAGAGATGTAACACCTCAAGAACTAGATGCACAAGCAAATTTAGAAGATTGCGTGCAAGCTCGATGCTATTTTTGGAAATTGCAGAGAACACCAACCCTCTCACATATCATCTGCTAACAACTAGCCACCAGGTCCTAAAGATTCTTAAGTAGCAAACAATTTGTGACTTGAGGTTTACAAATTTGATGGATCTTCAGTCCCATAAGATTGGATCTATTAGATCAATCAATTCTTCAATTTTTATGACATTGTTGAAGCGCAACGATTGAAGATAACCCTATTTTACTTTGTGAGTACAACCTTAGCCTGGTATCAGTGGTTGAAAAATAATACTACCATTGATTCTTGGGAAGGATTTCTGCAATACCTCCAAGTTTGCTTTGAACTTTCAGAGCAAGAAGATTATAAAGGAAAACTGGCTAAGTTGATGCAACATGGACCTTGTAATGGAGTATCAAGTTGAGTTTGAATCTTTGTCTAATAAGGTAAATAGGTTGCCTGAATATTTCTTGTTACACTACTAGAAAATTCATCATTTGCGACGGGCAATATCCGTCGCAAATTGGCAAAATCCATCGCAAATACCAATTTACGACGGAATATTTTGCTACAAGGGTATTTGCGACAAAATTTGCATAAATTTCCATCGCAAATGATGAATTTTCTAGTAGTGAATTAAGTTGCTTTATATCAAAATGAAAACCTAAAATTCAGTATGAGATATTTTCTTTTGATCCCTTAACCCTTACCAAAGCCATAGTCTTAGCCAAGATTCAAGAACTTAAACTCCAAACCAAAACCAATCAACCAAAATTCACTCCCCATACCCTCCTTTATTACCTACACCAACCAATCAAACCAAGGACATTAACCCTGTGACCAGCGCTGACCCTACTGTTTCAAACAAAAGTCCTATCCAACGCTTGACCTAAAGTGAAATTCAAAAACAAAGGGAAAAAATTATGTTTCGCTTATGGAGACAAATATTTCTCTGGTTATAAATGTAAGGCATTAGTCCATGTCTTGATAGTTCCAGATGAAGATCAATAAAATGAACCTGAACCACCGCCCTAAGAAACATCAAACAATCCAATACCTGAAATAGAAGCCAACATTACATATGCACCCTCAGATTAGTTTCCATTCTCTATCCGGGCTCCTTGTTCCACAAACTCTACGTTTCATTTGTCATATTGGGAAGTCAAAATTATATTTGCTCGTGGATAAGGTATGTAAGATCTCGCACCGTTAAATAGAGATTTTAGAAATTTAATAATAATTAAAAGAGAAGTATTAAATGGAAAATTTAATTATATTAATCAAATTAAGTTAAAACACCTTTTTGAGAATTTTTGAGAAAAAGGTCAATATTGAGCGTTTTACGGTAATAATGCGGTGATTAAAATTACTCGAAACTTAAAGGTAATTAGTGATTATTATTCCATAAATTTTATGGAATTAAAATGACAACAAAATATTTATGTTAATATTAGTAGGAAACTTTAATTATTCAAATTAAATCATTTTTCAGTGAAATGTGTGGATACTGCGTGTTTCACGGTAAAATGCAAGAAAGAAAAAGTATCGAAAACTTAAAAGAAATCAATAATGATTTTAGGAATTATACAATAATTTAATATTTAAGGTTTGATAATTAGAAGAAAATTCTAATTATTTAAATTATGTCACCTTTTGGTGAAAAATAAGAACACTGTGTATTTCGCGATAAAAGTGTGTACCAACAAAATTACCCGATAACTAAAATAATTTAATAATTATCGTTTCTAAATGTTAGGGAATAAAAAATGATATGAAATGTCTAAGTTTTGTTAAGGAGAGAGTTAATGTGAAAACTTAGTGAATAAATGCATACTAGGGTTAGATGACCCACTTAATGTGAAAATCAAATTAGTTTTATGTCTATATTAATGACATGGTTAAACACTAGGAAATAAAATATGACTAGGTGAGAAGTTTTGATGTCTGATCTATCTGGTGTATCTGATGATGTATGATAGGTCTGATGTTTGATATGTTTGAGAGGTTATGAAATGACTTATATATCTG